TCCAAGTCATGAAAAGCAAAGACCTACATCCAAGATTACTCTATCCACCAAAGCTATCATTTAGAATGGAAGGGCAGATAAAGTGCTTCCCAAATAAGGTCAAGTTAAAGGAGTTCATCATCACCAAGCCCTTATATGAAATGTTAAAGGGACTTATCTAAGAAAAAGAATATGATAAAAAATATGATTTTGAAGATGGAAAACATTTTGAGAGACTCTTAAAAAATTAAACATCAGTTACCAGATAACCCAATCATTTCAATCTGAGGAATTTACTCAAAAAATTGAATTTTGTCTAAAATTTGTACCAAATGCAGTAGCTTTGTCAAAACCCATCATAGATGAATAAACAAACTGTGCTATAGCCATACAATGGAATACTCTACATTCAATACTTAATTCCATAAAAAAGGAATAAACTATTAGTATATGTTTTAATATGGATGAAATCTAAACCTCTCCACACACAGTATAAATATATTTTTATAAAATTCTAGTAATGCAAATGAATTCATTGTGACAGAAAACAGATCACTGGTTGCCTGGGGATGCAAAGAGGTCTGAGTGTTTTGGGATGACAGAACCGTTCTGTACCTTGTCTTATTTCGTACGTGTACACATCACAGAATTAATCACTTTACGCTTTAAATGCATGTAGTGTATTGTATGTCATTTGTATCTCAATAATGCTGTTTTAGTGTTTTTTAAAAACAAAATGAAAACACTTCAGCCAATCAAAAGTAAAATTTATGCCCTGGCTGGTGTGGCTCAGTGGATTGAGTGCCGGCCTGTGAACCAAAAGGTAACGGGTTCAATTCCCAGTCAGGGCACATGCCTGGGTTACAGGCCAGGTCCTCAGTAGAGGGCACACGAGAGGCAACCACACATTGATGTTTCTCTTCCTCTCTTTCTCCCTCCTTCCCCCTCTATCTAAAAACAAATAAAATATTTTTTAAAAAAAGTAAAATTGATCACGAGCAGACCAACAGTGTAAGATATATCAAAGGAAATTCTTCAGTCTGAAGAATTACACCAGACCGAAAATCAGATCTACACAAAGGAACAAAAAGCACCAAAGAACAATAAATATATGGGCAAGCAAACATATTTTCCTCATCTTTACATTTTTAAAAAGGATCACTGACTGAAGCCCAAACAACGAGGGCGGGTGGGGAAGCAGACTGCTGCGGGCGGGGTTCTCGCGCGCACGCGGGGCACTGTTTCAGGACGGACCACCGCAGACCAGAGTGCACACTGTCAATCATACAGCAGTGACCAACCACATCAGCAGAGCGAATGAGTCAACAGTGGAAATAAATGGACTGGTAAAGATAATCAATTCAAAAAGGGCCAAAGAGAAACAGAACAGTTGGCACAAGAAGAAAATAGCAAAAGATAAACCCTCTCATATCAATAACTACATTAAATGGAAATGACTAAACCCTCCAGTTAAAAGGCAGGAACAGAGTAAATAAAAAGGAAGACCCAATTCTACTGTTTTATGTCCATACATGAAATAGAGATACATTAAAAGAAGTGAAAATATATGCAAAACTAACAAGAAAGCAGGAATGGGTACAATATCAGTCAAAGTAGATTTCAGTTCAAGGAATATGGAGACAAAGAGGAACATTACATAATGATGAAAGGGTGAATTATTAAGATATAATAATCCTAAAATAGCCCTGGCCAGGTAGCTCCATGGGTCAGTGTAGGTCCCGATATGCCAGAGTTGTGGGTTTGATCCCCAGGCAGGGCACATACAAGAACCAACCAATGGACGCATAAATACATGGAACGACAAATCAATGTTTCTTTCTCCTTCTAAAATCAATGAAAAGGACTTTATTTAAAAAAATAATAATCCTAAAATATGCAGAGCTCAAAATGAAGCACAGATTTATTAAACAAAAAGGTGAAATAGATAAATCTACAATTTAGTTGATTTCAACACTCTTCTCTCAGTAACTGGTCATAGACAGAAAGTCAGTGAAGATACAGAAAACTAGAACAACAGTATTAACCCAACCTGACATTACAGAAAACTGCATCCAGCCCCTGCACAGTAGACTCAATGCCCATAAAACATTCACTATTAGGCCACAGTCTAACACATAAAACAAGGCTCAATAAATTTTAAAGTTAAAATTATAGATATCTATGACCATTACGAAATTGTCTAACAAAATTATGTCTAAAAATTCACATATACTTAGCAGATAAACACATTTTTATGTAATACATGGTCCAAAAAAGAAATCACAAATGGAAAATGTTTTGAACTGAATGATAAACATGCTTAGAGGAAAATGTAACAGCTTTACATGCTTATAGTAGGAAAGAAAAGTCTAAAATCTGCAAGGTTCCATCTTAAGCAGCTAAACAAATTTGACCTAAATGGGTAAAAGAAATGAGTAGAAAATAATGAAATAGAATACGGACATACAATAGAGAAAAATTAATGAGAATAAGAGCTCATTTTTGAAAGATCTGTAATTCTGATAAACCTTTAGTTTGACCAAGACACAAATCGCCAAATGTCAGAAATAAAGACATTAAAAGCATAAGACACTTTTTTTTATGAGGCATACTTTTTGCCAATAAATTGGCAATATAGATAAAGTGGACAAATTAAACACATAAATAATGAAAATTGACATAATAGAAAGTATAAATTGCCCTAGCTCAGAACCGAGTTTACTTAGAAACCTTCTCGTGACAGGCATCTGCACCAAAGAAACAAAAGCCCTGCAGAGAACTTGAGGGCCCTAACCCTTTCCTTCCTTCCCGTGGAATCCTCAAGAAAAAGGACTCTAATTACCAGGCAAAACACGAGTCTTCAAGGCCATGACATGACATTGGGTAATGGCAGTGGGGGCGCTTTTGGTAGGATGATCAGAAGTCAAAAAAATCTCTCAAAATAATCATTTTTGTCTGCCATAAAGCTTGTGCTGTATCATAGGCCTGCTTGGGGCTGTGTCTCATTTAAGAAGTATAAACTCCTTTAAAATGCAGAGCAAGACCAGAGAAGGGGCAAAGGGGGAAGGCGGCTTGGAACAAGACCTGGACAGAATAGGATACTAGATAGCTGTTTCATCCTCGGGAGACTCGTAGTACTACTCAATGCCTAGAATGCTTTATGTACAAGTAGCTTTCTGGAGCAGGTAATAGAACTGGCCTACGAGTCAGGGTGCAGAAAACTCTATTAAAGGCCAACACCAACAGTGAATGAGTTCAGACATGCCTTGACACTTAATGAAAATGGAACAGAGATTAGGATGTAAGTCTCAGGGTCCTTCCCCCTCCACCCACTGCCACTGTCTCTGATCAAAATTTTGCCCTGTATTTTTCATGCTCAAAGTTGGCATTTCCCTCCAAGTCTGCTCATTAATCAATCGTCTATTTTGAGGAGGGAAAAAGGGAATACTTAGCACTGTAGCTGGTACACAGTAAATGCAAGCCTTATGTTAGCAAAACTATCCCGTATTTTTAGCCCTTCTATTGGAAATTGGCTTTATATGGTGATAAAAGCTGAATTTACTAATGCAAATCGCAGGAAGAAAATTTTAAGGGGTAGACGCAAAGAAAAGTGTCTTCTAAGCTCTCCACTGGGACCTCTATAACAAGAGATTAATAAGAGAAAACATACTTAAGCTTTACACAACACGGGAGCCCTCATAAGAAAAGAAAGACAAAGAAATGGTTAAACCCGAGTGTTTCTACGCTAGGTGTGAGGAGTGGAAAGTTGAGTGAAGGTACGATGGGACAGACATTGGGCCAAAAGGTTCACCGCTTCCCTCCTAAGACGGCTCTAGTAGTGCTTGTCTTCATTCAAAACAATTTTTGTTAGATTATCATATCTGTGTGCATTAAAAAAAACTGATACATTTTTGTGTAGCCATTTTAACACTGAAGATGGACGACAATAAGCAACATCTTTGGTATATTATGCTTTACTTCGAGAAAGGTAAAAATGCAACTGAAATGCAAAAGGTTTGTGCAGTGTATGGAGGTGCTGTGACTGAGCGAATGTGTCAAAAGTGGTTTGTGAATTTCTGTGCTGGAGATTTCTCACTGGAATGGACGATGCTCCATGGTGGGCGAGACCAGCTGAAGTTAACAGTGATCAAACTGAGACAATGACTGAGAAGTAACATTATCCCACTCGGGATATAGCCAACACACTCAAAATATCCAAATCAATAGTTATTGGTAAAAGTGAAAAACGTGTCTTTTACTTTACAGAAACAACTAAATGGACTTCTTGGCCAACTCAATAATTTGAGCTAAGTGTAGGAAACTGGGGGCGACTCGGGAAGGCCTGGACTTCCAGTTCCCTGTGTTCCTCTGGCTTCTGGCCTCTGGGTTCAGGGAGCGCACCTCTCACGAGAGGGTTTATGACCTACTTCAGGGGAACGTCAGCGAGCTTCTTGCACGTGCCATTTCTCAAATTCCTTCAGCTTATTTAGTATGTCGAGGTGCTGTATTTTGGGTTCATGTGCCCTGAACCCCATCAGCAAGTTTAACTCCACATTTAAACCAACTCATCCTTTGATTTAAATTTATTTAGAAATCACTACATTTAAGTGCAATTATATACAAGGCAAAGAATTAAAATGAAAAAGACTGGGTAAACTTAGATGAAAACCTACCTGGGGAAAAGGACCCCAAACAATTAGCACTGTTTTCCGCATTCTTGTACCTGCCCTTAAACCAAGCAAACCACTGTGTATGTTGTCAGGTGGGCACTAGACTTTTGTTGGGGGGCAGGGTTACACAAACGTCCAAGCCAAGGCAAGCTTACTGATTCAAAAGCATCTGCTAAGGAAAGACCTTTATATTAAAACTTGGCTTCCATTAACCACCTGATGTTTGAGCTCAATTACTGCCTAATAAAAAGCCTTTCTTCCCAGGTTGTGTTTTACTTGAAATAAAAACAAAGGTGGGTTTTGTTGTGTCTGAAACACAGCAGCCATATATCACAGCACAGCACAAGCAGCTGGTTTTCATTTCTTGCTGAAAAGAAATGACACTTTTATTTTCCACTGTTTTATTATAAAAATCAACATTTCATTTGTTACCGCTCAGCTTACTGTAATAATCAAAAGGGGGATTTATACAAGGTATTTTTATACAGTTTACATTAAAGCACTTATTTTACAAAAAGGGGGAAGTGAATAGTGGACAAGGGCTGACCAAATGTTGGCCATTAAAATATAAATACATCCTTGCAAAGCACCATCGTACCGAAGTCCATGAACAAGAAACACCAGCTGACTTTAAGACAAAACGAAGATTAAAGCTTAAGAAGAAATTTAAAAACACAAGGGATAAACATCTGAAAGCAGCACCAGATCCTTCACTTGCAAATAAGGCTGGTCCAGCTTCAGGTTCTCAGGATCCTCTTTACTCTCCTAAAATTTCTCCCTGCTAACCCCAGATACTTTTTTCACGTAACATTACATTCTATCAGACTCTCTTTTTAATACCCATGTTAAAAGAATATTCACATATATATTCACAGACATATATGTGCATCTCTACCCTGATTTAAAAAAGAATGGACAGTTAAGCCAAAGCAGTTGTCTATAATTCTTTGGTGTTAACTTTTAGTCAAACCCTAAGTAATGATGGGGGGACAAAGTTTTTGTTAGGTCTACAGTCCACTTCTGAGTACAAGAAATTGCTTAGTTTATAATTCTTATCTGTAGAGTCCTGAATATTTTTTGAATACACAAAATCAAGCCAGAAATATCCTGAGTACACAGATTCACAATATTCATAATTAAGAACTTTCAAAAATACAAATGTAAAATGATATATTTTAGGTCCAACGTCTTCTAAAACTTTGAGAATTTCAAGAGCTAAATTTTGAGACTATTATGAAATGAGGCCATCCCAGAAGTCAGAAACCACACAGGCTACCAGCACTTTCTGAAGTCATCTGTTATTTCTCTTGGCTCATTTTAGACTTGGGATAAGGAAAGAAATACCAAGTAAAATTAAATTTCTTGAGTTTAAAAATTCTGAGAACATTTTAAACACACGATTACTTCTGTATGACTCAGTTCATGTTTATATCTAGTGCGCAGTCCCATTTGCAAATGTCCGACCAACACACATGCCCCCCGCCACTCCAGACAGACTGTAACTTAATAGAGCATGGCATATTTGGGATTTGAAAAGCCCGAGATTTCTGGTGTTGAGTTTTGTTACACGTAAAGTGGTACACAATGTGTGGCTCTTACAGCAAATTAATGGAGTGGCATGTTTTCTCCTCCAAGGTACAAAACAATTTTAAAACTACACTTCCAAGCACCTAATGCAGGCACAGGGCTAGATGGGGAAACAGCAGCAGTACTTTTATTGCGGAGAAGCACAGTGCGTCAAGAGAGCCTCTCTGGTACCCAAAGTAAATAATGCCTCCCATGATTACTGCTATCAGGTCACACAAATACACGCAGCTCATTAACAGGCTAGGTAAGCCAGAGCTACCAACTGTTCTCAAGTCTTCTTTATTAATCTACCTTTAGAACAAAGCAAAGATTTTCCCCAAAACTAACTGCTACCTAATACCAAGGGAGGCTATTTTTAATATTCTAATATCAAATGAGTTGGCTTTACATAAATTATTGACTTCAGAGTTGTTTTTAAATAAATGCAGTCCTCAAATATACTAAAATTTTACTGCTCAAACCACCCCCCTTCCAATGTATCTACCTATATTAGGTTTCCAAATACACGTCAGCCTATTAGAACAGTTGTTCTCAAATGTATTAAAGGTTCAGAGCAAAACCGGTGAGCTGCTGTTTAGAAGACCAGGGCTCTCTGGTCTTCTAAAGACCTTGAAGGAACCAAGGTCAAGTTAGAAAATTTCAGGGTCATAAAAAAACCACTTCATTGTGGAATAGCTTACCACAGTGCACAGAATGTATGCTTTGCTAAAGTTAATTTCTCAGATAATCCTAATCACACCAATAAGTGGGCATACTTTAAAACATTCAAAATAAATACATCTTTAAGAAAGCTAATGACATTTCATTCATCCCCCGCCTCAATGGAAAATGAATCAAGACAAGGTAGTTGACTTAAGCTTAACTGTCCATGTAACCTAAGGGCCAATAAATCTTCCCTGAATCCCCACAATTCTCTCATTTTCAAGGTACTCCCCAAAATATTAAAAATCCATCTCAACTACTCCAGAAAGAGGATTCTGAGATTAAACTGAACCACCTTCAAATAATTTCAAATTGGCACACAAATTAGCATTTTGCAAGAAGAGGCCATTGCCATCGCAGTACAAGCACTTGGACTGAGATACAACAAGGCGGAGTTCTTCTTAGTCCGTCATAGTGCAAGTTCCCGCACGGGAAGCCTGCCCGATAAAGATGCACACTAAAAAATGTAAACATACAGAACTGTCAAATTCTAACCAATACCCAGTTATTGCTAACCTTTCAATCTTCATTTAAGCACGGAGTGCCCCTGTGTGTCGCAGAATACAACCGCAGTGTCCATCCTATCGGGCTGTGAGCACTCGGTTCCATCAACAGAAGAGTTAACGCTTGTCTGACTGAAATGATAGAAACTGATGGGTCACCATTTATTTATATGCAAAATCAAGTGTCCCGGATTCTTAACTAGGTGTCCTCAACAACCTAAGCATTATTCTGAAACCACTTTTGTTCCTCTCTAAAACATTTATTACTCAGGTATTTTTTAATTGCTTAAAGAAGTATTTCATTCTTGCTGATATTCTGAATCCTTTCTTCCATTGTTTTCTCTTGGGTCCTGAAATTGAAGCCCCAGCAAGATAGAATTTTTTTTAAAAAACCATTCAATAACTAGCTGACCAACATCTGTTAAGGTAAAAAGTACACTAGTTTAAAAACACATTCAATTTTAGCAGAGAAATGCTGAAAACACAGGAGAAGCAGAAAACTAACTTCTGGCAAGGTGGAGGAGCAGCGCTACTGTCGTTCCGCAGGTCAGCCCCTACGGCCAGAGGTCAGCCCCTGCGGCCAGAGGTCAGCCCCTGCGGCCAGAGGTCAGCCCCTGCGGCCGGGAGATGCAGCGGCCTGTCCCGCACGGCCAGGCAGGTGCCCCGAGGGCCTTCCATCACCCCCTCCACCCAAGCTCTGCCGGCTGAGAGGTTAACCGTTTGCCTTCTCATTTGACCTGTGTTGTTAAATCTGTTAAATCTTAATCGTTATTGGGGTAAGAGAGGCCACACAAATATATACAAGGTGATTATAAGGATAATTTGTGGATAATTTGAAAAAGTCTAACATTCACATTAGGTAATAGAAAGATACTAAACTCACATCACACATTAGAAGAGGTATGTATGTAGACATCATTCTGAGAAAAATTGGCCTAACAAACATGAAAATGTCACAAACAGTTAATAAAGGGAAAACCTTATGATAACAAAATTCTCCTTTTACACAGATTGTCTCTTACCAGAACACATTAAAATATTTTAGTAGGAAAATATATATAAAAATGATTTCATACTGTGATGTATATGCTGAAAGTACTGCAAGGATATATGATTAATTTACAACAAAAACATAATAGCTAAATTTGTAATTCTTAAACATTGTCTATATGTGTCGTCGTAAAAAGACAGTTTAATGAGCATTAAAACAATCTTAGAAGTAAAGAGGAGCAAGAATATGTCTAACCTTTGATCATTACGTGAAAACATCAGTCTAATTGAGGAGTTAAGCCTTCAGGGGAATGGAGCTAGTATAAATATTAAAATGAAACCTTAATTTAGAAAATTCCACTTAATTAACCTTCAGATAAAAAGCTCTGAATAAACCGTATCTTGGCAAACTGGCCTACAAAGCTGCTGGGGGAGCAGGGAAGGTAAAGACGCCCGGGGAACCGGACTCTGAAGGAGGTGCGGACAGAGACGCACACACGGCCGGCCCTGCAGCACCTCGCCAGGTGGCTGACCTTTCCTACCACAGCGGTACCCAGAACGGATTTTTATAAATACCTATTTCCCTCACTGAAATTGTTGGACTCCTGGAGAAAAAAAGCCCTATGTCCAAAGTTAGTATTACTTCCTTTATTATTTTTTTCAGGATTTCTTAAACCTGTTGGCCCTCGAATGTTACTTAACATGAAGGCTATTTGGCTACTTCCAAGTATCTATGGTTTGCTGCTCTGAGATGGACTGAAGTTTTTCTTCTTCTTCTTCTTTTTTTTTTTTGGTATCAATAAAGCCCAGACACTCCTGGTCACTGATGCCTTTATTATGCCTATTTCCTTTGTACTCAGTCACTTCACTGGGTTTAAGGCATGCTCTGTGTATTTAGTTTGCAAAAATAAAACTTTTAGTACAAATTTATTTTTATACAAATTTTTATGGCACAAGCAGCAAATCTGCTGTTTTAAGAAAATATATAAATATCCTTTTCTTCTGTACAAATATCTCCAGTATTCCCTACCCCACTTATAATCTGTAACTGTACACGGCCTGCCTCGCCCTCTCTCGTGTCCCCCCCCCTCCAGACCTCAGCCAGATCTGTGTGTGCATTTCTGCGTCGGAGGCAGTCAGAGGAGGAGGGCCCCTCCTCAGGAGGAGTCCGTGCAGGGGGACGGCGGCGGAGGGTACAGGTGGTGCGAGTAGCTCCTCTCGGTGTAGGGAGAAGGCGGGCAGCTTTCATAGTTCTCTTCCGCTGACAAGTACTGGCTCCGGGGGGTGGGCGGTGGGGGCACAGGCTCTGAGTCATAGTTCAAGTCACTAGTGTAGCCCTTGACTGCTGCCACCGAGGTCATTCTCCGGCTGGGGGCATAGTCACTGTCACAAACATCAGTGCTGCAGGGCGTGGTGGGGGGTGCAAAGTGCCGGTAACTATATGGCCTGTAGCTGGTATTGGAAGCAAATCAAGAGAAGAAGAGGTAGTTTTATTGAAAAGTGGTTTTCCCTATCAAAATACAGAGGTGTTGGATATAAACTTCATCTGGAAGATAATAAGCTACTACAATTTAAATCCAAGAGGCAATTTTCAATGGCAGATTGGAGGTGGAAGACAGCATGCATTTCATATTTGTGCATAAAATGTGATTAGAGGCAATTAAAAATGGATAGGATGGAAATGAAAGATGACCGTGGATGTGCTCTTATAGCTTTAAGTTACACTGTATCATGAAATAAAAAAGAGCTATTTAAAGTTATATCTAGTGGTCACGTCTGGAATATCTGTCAGTTACAGTTTAGTCTACACACAGCGGACCTCGCTCATTTCTGCCAGCTTCACACTACTCCACAGTCAGCGTTCCCTCCACATTCTTTAACCGCTCTACCGTTTACCTGATGAATGATTTAACGATGCCTGACGATTTCCTTCTCTATTTAAAAACAAAGCACTGTGCAAGCCAGACTAAACACTGTAGGCAGCCTAGGCAGCGCGTCGACCCCATCGGTGCTGGGTCAGCAGAGGAAACTGCTGTGGTCTCAGAGAGTTCTGACTCTCCGTGTGGAGATGAGCAGACTCTCGCAGGAGCAGCTCTAACTGAACGTCAGAACAATACAGTCTAAATATCCACACAGAACCAGTGAATTCTCTAATTATGTATTTGACCTAACTTATTTCTTACACTTGCTTACTTACCTTTTCAAGTAATCTATAGCTGTGAAAAGTTCGTAGCATGGCTAACTAGAGAAAAAGGCACTGGAAAGAGAGGATCACATTAGAGAAGGTAGGAGCTCATTTAGCACCCAGATTTTTCTTTTTAAACAGATTTTATTTATTTTTTAGAGAGAGGGGAAGGAAGGGAGGGGAAGAGGAAGAGAAATATCCATCAGTTACTTTCTGCACGCCCCTACCAGGGACCTGGCCTGCAACCCAGGCACGTGCCCTGACCGGTAATCGAACTGGTGACCTTTGAGTTCATAGGCCAGTGCTGAGCCACACCAGCTGAGCCACACCGGCCAGGGCAACGTGCAGGTTTTTCTATCATTTCTACTTCTACTTATAACTTCTTATACTTTTATATTTTAAATACGGTGAAGTTAATCTCACATGGTGTCTCATCCAACAAAATAACTGTGAGAGGGGCAAGAACAAGTGCAAAGCCGAAGTTATAATCCATAAAACACCTAGCGATAGAGAGTGCCACAGCTAACATGCCAGGACGCAGACCGTTCGGTACCATTAGGACTCGCCTCAGCAGAAATGGCTGCCCGAACACCAAGCCACAGAACCTGCTGAGCGGGTTTATCACAGTGTGTGCTTTGTTTTGTTTTTGTTTTTAACTGCGCACATGGACATGATGTCATAGTATCTTTTAGGTCTTATCGTTCTGTCCACTCAGGTGTCAAGCCTTGGTAAACTTTCTTGGCTCAACATTTAAAAGTCCCAACACTTCCCTTTTCATGGGAAAAAACAGGGAGGAAAGGAAGGAAGAAGAATCAACAAATTCTTTTAAGTTCCATTTTAAACAAAAATCTCAACAAATGATAAAAAGTGTCACTGAGCAGAAAGAAAGTGAGCTTAATTTGAGACGTGGGAAATGACTAAGAATTGTTTTTGATGTTATGATCATTTTAATCAAATATTTTATTCAATTTACAGAAATTTAAAATTTTTAAATAAAATTTTAAGTCTTTCCTTTTTTTTTTTCAATTTTCAGGTTTTTGCCCCTCTATTTTGGCATTTTAAAGCAAACCCGTGGCAGGGAAAGCAACATTTACAGTAAAATCAATTCAGAGCCTAGCCTATCTCAAATAATCTTATCTAAAAACTGAAATGAGAATTCTGAATGAGGGGGTATAATCATTTCTACCTGATTTCTATATATCTATCTGGTTACATCAGGGCTATTTGATTGAAATGCTAGGAAACACCTTATCCTGAAGACAACAGGCACTTGAGGAGTGCCGATAAATACTGGCACTAAGTGTGTAGACGGAGAATATGAAGCTCTTGACTATCTGCTGGCCTTTCAAATAAGGGGGAAGAGTAAGGGGCAACACTAGTACTTATGCTTATTAACCTGCTCACTCTGCTCTATCCATTTACAAATCAGCACAAAGGCCTACCCCACCCCCGTTTGACTTACAAATACATTTATTTTAGCGAGCCGTGATCCATTCTGTGCAATTATAACGTATGGAAACAAGGGCTGAATTCAAGCTTCCCTCAAGTTCTGTGCTCTTAAAAATCCCGCTGTTCTAGAGCTCTTGCAACTCTGAACCATCCAAGTCTTATCCCAATACTTTATCTTCAGACTATCAATCAAACCCAACCTAAGCAAGTAACCTATTTTGAAATCAGTTTGATGAATAACATTCTCTTAAAACACTGTCGAAGCATTGAAGGCTATACTCTGTTGTCCTAAAAGCCAGCATTTGTGACTCTCTTGTAAAAAATGTGTAATGCCCCAAAAGAAAAGAATTTGTGGTAGGGGCAACACTAGTATTAGCAAGACAAGTTGCCCATTCTCTCTCGGTGACCATCATCTCCCTATGCACTTGGGTCTACATCAAACTCACAACTAGAAGAATACTTCGACCTTCTAATAAAGACTTCAATTCATATTAGAGGAAGATGTGTAATAATACCTGTAGGACCTGTGAGTGGAAGGACTGTTTGAAGAATAACCAAATTCCATGGTGTAATGTGATCGCTCTGTGGCTGGGGATGGCGGAGGGTTCAAAATCTAAAAGGAAAGTAATGAAATTATTAAAATAACAGTGGTCTACCCCACACAGAGACTTAGAATTTCTTTCAATTTCTCTTCTTTCCTCTCTGTTCATATTCCTTCCCATTACACTATTAGCACAATCCTTTCTTTCCAAAGAACTGACTTTGGGATTGTGACTCTCAACTCCATACTACACAAATTCGTCACTGCTAAACACTGAAAGGTGATGAGAGGAAAATCTATCACCTACAAGTCACTGGTTTAAGTTCAGTATAGCTGGGTTTAGATTTTTTAAAAATATAATTGTTCAAAGAAAAATTACTGACATAGGAGAAGTACCATGTGTTTCCTCTTTTGGGAAGTCATGGAATGAAGGTCCTAAATGTCTCAGGACATACTATTAAGTAGTTCTACTTTTACTAAGTAGAAATTAATGTCCAGTGCTTCCATATGCCGATTACTATACAATAAATATAAAGAAAGATTTGTAAGTGCTAGCAAGGTGATGGTAAAGTCTACTTTGAACCTTATATGCCTAAATTCTATACTAAGTTTAAAAACTTTTTACATTACCATCACTGAGTACCCACACTGAAGTGAGGCAACAATCTAAGCTTCTGTGGGTCTTAGCATTCACAGAGAAACAGGAAAACAGACTGCTTACTGCCGGGAAGTAAGTGCCTTTGGTGCTTGAAGAACTACTGGATGAGGCTCCTGTGACGTGAGCTCGGTCATAAGGCGGTCCGCTGCTGCCCCCCATGATACTGAGGGAGCTGATCATTGATTTACCTCGAGACATTCCTAAAATGAAGGAAGACAAATACTGAAGATGAATAAGATCAATAAAGATGCATGACATAATTTTATTCACTATTAAGATTATAAATATCAATAGAGTTTGACTTTTAAACAATTTATGCCCCTTTTCTTTCTTTTTAAGAACAGTATATTTTATTGATTATGCCATTACGGTTGTCCCATTTCCCCCCTTCACTCCCTCTCCACCCTGCACACCTCCCTTCCACCCACATTCCTCCCCTTTAGTTCATGGCCATGTGTCATAAATTCTTTAGCTTCTGTATTTCCCACACTACTCTTGCCTTCCCCCATCTATTTTCTCCCCCTGTCTATGCTACTTATTCTCTGTACCTTCTCCCCTCTTCCTCCCACTCCCCTGTTGCTAACCCTCCATGTGAACTCCACTTCTGTGCGCCCTTTTTCTAATAATTATTGAAAACACTTCACAGAGAAGGGAAATGAATGTTCTCTAGTAGTGAACACTTCCATTGAGAGCTGGCCTAGAACAAGGCCAAGAACGGCTGCCACTCCCTCTGCCCACCCCAGAATGGAAGCAGAGCACTTCAAAATGAGATAAAATGAGAGGTTTTCAATCTCTAAGCAGATCTGAGGAAGAAAGGGCTGTGGAGAATAAAGGTTGTGGAGCAGAGCAGACTAAACAATAGAGTTGGTTAAAAAAAGAAAAAACCAAAAAACTAAACCCATTTTTAAGGGCATAAATACAATATATGGAAGATTATTTCTTCAGCTACTGGATGTAAATATTGTAATCACAACCACCAGTGCTAAAGATAAATTTATATTCTTTTCCAAGTGACTTCCTAAATTGCATTAACTGCCAATAGATGTGGTGACAGAGAATAGTATCAGTAACATTTTAAAAATCATGTCTGTTTATTTAGTTACATCCAGAATAAGTCCTCATTTTCAGAGGGCTTTTGCCTGAAACTGAGGGTGCCAGAAAGCATTGATAAGACATCTGTACCCTCTAGAGCAAGGGTGTCAAACTCATTTTCACCAGGGGCCACATCAGCCTCACGGTTGCCTTCAAAGGGCCAAAATAATGTTAGGAATGTATAACTATAACTACTCCTTAACTGTTAAGGAACCGAAATTGCATTCGGCCCTTTAAAGGCAACCACAAGGATGATATGGCCCCAGTGAAAGTGAGTTTGCCACCCCTGCTCTAGAGCAATGTGCTTTACCCAAGTGCAGAACTTCTGGCTACTTGGCTAGGCCTGAACCACCCTAGTCCCACTGTCACCACCTAAAGGTAAGAGAACATAAGACATTACACCCTTCCCTGAAGTCACCCAGATATTTCCAGACCTTTGTTTGCTGAAAAGAAATCTTAGTCTATTTATTGGCCCCCTTTAATTCGTGGGCTCAGTAGTACTGTGGTCACCTACAGAGAACCTAAAGAACTGTGGTTAAGACTTTTCACCAAGTGACTAGCTGATTCATGTTTAGTAGACTGCATCCAAAAATGCAGCGTATATAAATGGCTGTGTATGTTATTTGCTTTATAACATCCTTTGGCAGTTTCTATCAACCCATACCTCAGATGTTCTGTGTACAGAGAAGGTGCTTAAAGTAAAAGAGAACATTTGTTCTTAAAAATTTTTAAACCCAATGTGGTCTAGTTTGAAATGTATTCTGGGCAGTAAGTATCCTGGTTTCAATTATGGAAAATTGAGGATTCTGCCAGGACCCAAGAGTTGATTTTCTGTGGATCAGTGTTAACTTACCTGGAAGAGAGCCTGACAAAGAACTTGGGTGTGGCACATAACCAAGGGGCACAGAAGCTGGTCCATGAACTACATAGTCATTAGTCATGGTTTCTCCATCTCCCTTCATGCGTGGACACAACATCCTCTGGCAGATAAAGTATATGGTTCCAGACACAAAAATAGTGACAATTACTCCAATGACTGAACCAACTGTATTGGTGGGCGGTGGTGCTGGCTCCTCGGTTGGATCTAAAATGAGAATGCAGTGCAGTTATACAATGAAAAACAACTATAGATTCAAAGTAGTAATCAGAAACAGGGCTTGCTAGCAGACTGGGAAGCTAATGGAGACAAGTTAGAAACATTTTTCTTTTCTATGGATAGGAGAGGGGATCCAAAACAACTGGAATCATCTTATGGAGGGGGGAGGCTTGTAATACAGGCTCCCCCCACTAGGTGAGTGTTCTGGAAACCCGTCTGTATCAGTGCACCAGCTGGCGTTGTTGTGAGAGGCCACACCCAGCTTCAGTGAATTTTTCTGAAGTCTCTTTCAACACACTGGACCATTTCATGATGGGTGATTTATGAGTGCACCTGCCCATAAGGTGCTGTTTAGCAGTTTTTGACCAAAAACAACATTGACGCCTGTGCCGCAACCTCCCTATTCCCCCAATCTCATCTTGAACAACTTTTTTTTAATTTCCCCAGATGGAAAAAAGTCCTCAAAGGGAAATGTTTTGCCAATGCGGAAGAGGTAAAACAAAAAAACGGCAGAAGCACTAAAAGGCATCAAAACCAACAAGTTCAAAACCTATTTTGAGCAGTGAAAAAAAATCTTGATAGGTATACTGCATCAAAGAAAGTACTTTGAAGGTGACTGAAGTTTAAACCTGTAAGAATAAATCCACAATTTTTTATAAATAAATTCCAGATTTTGGGGTCCCCCTCATACCCGTACACCATGCCCCATGGATTATGGATAAATGTCATCATTAGGAATCAAATGAACTACCCTTAAGTGAAGACAGAAATAAGACAACACGTTGGGGAAGCATCGTATAAATGATAAAAATAAAGATGTTAAGTGAACCATAGAATTAAAATCCATTAAAATGTTTTAAATACATATATATATATAAAATCTATCCTACTTCATTCTTTATATCATTAAAATCAACAAACTTATTTTGGAATCTCAGAGTAAATTAGAAGGCCCAAACAGGTGAACTTGGAAAAGTCATTAAATGTTTTACCTGGAACGGTGAAACCAAAAGCAACTGTGAACCTGATTTTAGGCTTGAAAGGTGAAAGGAAATTAGAAGCTGAAGATGAACAATAGCTCTCAGGCTCAACATGCTGCTGCCTTCAGGGTGAGTCCAGCTGCCTGAGTGCGAGGAGCAGGTAGGTCTACGATACTTGAGAACTCAGAAAGAAAGCCAGCGCATGAGAGCACTAGGGAAGACCCTGCCCAAGGCATCCGCCTTCACGGAATTGAGGCTTTAGAAGCGCAGGGCATCGAATTTTAGAGGTAGAGAGAAAGAACAAAAGGGCGCATCCAATTTAGAACGTTACTCTTTGACTCAGAAGGAAAATTCTCCCATTCTGAATATAGTCCAGACTACAGCTCACAATTGCAGACCCTTTAAAACCCTTCCTTCTGTTTCGTCATACCTCAAATATCCCATCCGCACAGCTAAACTCACCCTGTGGTAGATTAAATGAAAGAAATGAGAGAAAACTGTATTACAAAAGTTACACAATTACGTAAGGGCTGCCAGTTATGTATTTCCTCTATGGCATAGTCTGAGGCATAGACCTGTGAGCAACCATCTCGACCTTTTTAGTGCCCTGAGCATTCCATTCTAATGCCAAGATTTGAGAGAGAATAGTTGATGCTGACAACTCCAATTCTTAGTCTCTAGGTCACATCTTGACTCACGGAAATCAGGCTTCTATCCTCACCATGACACTGAAATTAGTCTGGCAAAGGTCAACATTCTCCTGTTTGCCATATTCAATGAACCTTTCACCTCACGGGCCTTTCTATACTTTCAATAGAAAGTATAGAAATACTGCTGGCTGTTGTTTTCCTCAAAAATGTCTGATCAATATCCTTCCAAGACACCACTTTCTTAGCTTCACTTCTCTAATTATTCTGTTTCCTTTTGCTGGCTTCATTCTCTTCTATCTGACTTCTAAGTACTGTTGCTTCCTAGAGTTCTGTCTACCCCCTGCTACTTTCCTCCCCTACTTAACTTTCACTGGGAGATTTTATCCACTGCCTCCGCTTGAATTATCATTAATAACTGAAGGGCCCAACCCTCTCTCTTGAGCTACAGACCCATATGGTCAACTTTCTGAACAGCTTCCATGGGACATCTCATGGGCAACTTTAATGCAACATATTCAAATTGAACTCAATGTCACCATTATCTGCCATGTTTCCTAAGTTCCAGGGGTAAAGCAGATCATAAATAAATGAGGTGCCTGTAGCAAAGGTATTTGCATTAAATAAAAAACAAAAATAAAGTAATAAAAGCCCCTTACATCAGCCAAACATGACATCTGCAGCCAAGACATGGAATGGTACTTGAGTTGGCAGTCCCTGCTATGTATTCTAGTTAATGAAATGACTCCTGTCACTCAGTGAGGTAGCTGTGTGTCAACCTCAGCTTATCAACTAAATCTAAATGGTTACCAAACCCTTTTATTTTATTTCCAAAATAAATCAATCTACCTACCATACTGCTCCTTCTTGACTTAGATCCTCATCACCTTCTGCCTGACCTACAATAGTCTCCCAAGCATTTTTAAATTACAGGCTGCAAGTTATTAGACAGTGAAAACAGTTTAGTGGGTTGAAATGAACATTTAAAAATGGAAAATGTCAGAATGCATTCTACATAATATGGATAAACACTGTTGTATGACATTATTTACACGTGTACCCATGTCATTGTAACCTCTTGACTTGGTCAAAAGATTTGAAAGCAACCAGCCTAACAGTTTTGCCTGCCTATGATCTTATCGCCTCCAACCCACCTGCTTTACAGCTTTCACAATTACGCTGCAATGCCAACCCTTTGCTTAAGTTGCTCAATGACTCTCCATTACTACATCTAGGATTTTCGGAAGAAAAGCCAAGTCCTCTATGATCTCACCTTTACATACGTTTTCTCTTGCTGACACCCTTCATGACATAGCATGTACTTAGGCAGTCCTATTTACATGCAGTTTCCCAAAGGTGCCTGTGTCACTCTGCTTTTGAACAGGATATTTCTTCTGCCAGGGGTTCAATCTCTCTACTTATCTGAGTAATGAACACTATTCACTGATCGACATCCTGTATCTTCAGCACCACTGCTCTAAAAAACCTTCCTTGACGAGCCGCATCTTCATTCCTAAAGATTTGACCACTCTCTCCTTTGTACCACTTGCAAAGATCTCTAAAACAGCACATTTGATATCACTCTCTTTTATCAACAGTATCTCCTATGAGTCAAGCTGTATGTTTTATATATATTACATCATTTAATTTTTCTCACAGCCACCAGAATAAATATTATCTTCAATTCAAAGATGAAGAAACTAAGGTTCAAATTTCCTGGTAAGAACAAATTTCTTGGTAAGAGATGGAGCTAGAATGCAATTCCATCTCTGCCTGGCTTTAAAAGCCCTAATCCTACTACTACCCCCAAAACAGACAGCTTTGAGAGCAGTGGTACAGGTACCCTACACGCTCAACACGTAGCAGGTACCCAGTAATGTTTCATGAATATGAATCGAGACTATGAGTCTCAGTGAGTATTCCATTTGAATTTGTAAAAATATCAGCTTAAAGTCTTTATTTTCTTTAATTGAATTTTTCCCATTACCATTTAGTTCCCATATACTGTACCCCCACGATCATGTCCATGACTCCTTTTTCCTTTTTGCTCAATCCCTCCACCCCCCTGCCTCCCCCACCTAGCTGTCATCCTGCTCTCTATATTTCATTAAACCGGTTTTGACAGGGTAGATGTGGCTTATGCTGATTTCCATTCAAAACTAAGTTGATCAATTTGGGATTTATTATAGGTTAGAACATTGGTCAACAGTTATGAACCCTTGAGGAAACTCTGGGCTATTCGGCCTAGGGTCTCTAGGCCTGTGCATGTAGTTGGTACAGATTTCCTCAGGCTGCATGTTAAGGAAGCTCTTTCAGTCACTGAGAGACTGGTGTCAACAGAAAAATGGGGGATGTTAAACATGAACTAATGCTCAGAAATTCTTAAGTTCTGACCACTGAGTTCCACGTATCTATAAGCATATCTCGTTTTGGTGAGCTTCACTTCACTGTGCTTCACAGATTTTGTATTTTTTACAACTCGAAGGTTCACAGCAACTCTGCATCAGGCAAGTCTATTGGTGCCAGTTTTCCAACAGGCTCAGATGATGGTTAGCATATTTTTAGCAATAAATTATTTTTTCATTAAGGTATGTACATTGCTTTTTAAGACGTAATGCTATTGCACACTTAACAGACTACGTTACAGTGTAAACATAACTTTTCTATGCGCTGTGAAACCAAAAAATGGTCTGACTGGGGTGACTGCAGGGCTTGCTTTAATGGGGTGGTCTGGAGTCTGAAACCGAACCCACAGCATCTCCGAGGCACGCCTGTAAACTGCTTCAGAATTTTCAACTTTAGCTGTGGCAAAACAATATTTATTCTTTTATGATGCTTTACTAAACATTCCTGTGAAGATTTTTTTGCATAAGAAAACTGCTGTCTTTTAAGAAATTATTAAAAGCAAAACAAAAAATCCCTGGTACAGATAACTAGCTTAACATTAGTATTTGTTTCTTAATAAGGAAATAGTGATTACAAGGGAAACTCACAGACAAAGAAAAGAAAAACACATTTAAAAAAAATTCCCCCTTCAGAGTAACACACAGGCAGGTTTAGTCCTACTCACAACAATCCAGCTCGTCTGATTTATCACTGCAGTCCACATGGTGGTCACATTTCTTATGTTTTCCAATGCACTGACCACTGGCACAGCGGAACTGATCAATTAAACAAAGCACTGGGGGAAAAATGCAAATAATTTTATTTTTATTATTTTGTAAAGCTGAATACTACCAAGAATTGAAAAATTACTTTGTGGGAGCAAATGAAAACAAATTAGACTTTTAGATATAAAAGATATCTTAGATATCTTTTGGATATATCTTAGAAATTATTCTCAGAAAACTTTCATTGGTAGAGGGAAAAGACATTCCAGCAGGAAATTTCCTATGTTGTTACTTTTAAAAAGTGATTTTATTTATTTTTAGAGAGAAGGGAAGGGAGGGAGAGAGAGAGAAGAAAAAATTGATGTGAGAAACATCAATTAGTTGCCTCTTGCAAGTGCCCTGACTGGGAATTGAACCAGCAACCTTTCATTTTGTGGGACAACAGCCAACCAAATGAACCACGCCAGTCAGGGCTCCTATTTTGTTCTTTATGTTAAATTTCATCATTCACTAATAATCCCAAAGAATCTGTTTGTTTGTGTGTGTGTGTGTTTACCATGTTATAAAGGTTAATGAAGAGGAAAATAATGAAATTATTTTACATCGAAATAAATAAATTCATCAATTCAAAGTTTATTGGAAACTACTATTTTTACATACTGAAGTTCTTTTGGCCTCATTCCTCTGCTACGCTTATTAATGTGTAGAAACCTTATGCATATTAAGTGAGTTAAAACAGCAATTTGGAACATGTTACTATGTTTAACATAATAAGGTCAAATGTACTTGAAAACCCCAAATCTACCACTGAGCCAAAGCAACACTCCACTCTGAACTGCAAACAACTTAAGGGAAAAAGGACTTTATGACTGGGTTTTAAAGTTTTTAGATACCTTCACAGTTCTTTTCATCTGATTTATCCTGGCAATTTGCATCTCCATTGCATCTGAGCACGCCGTCAATACACTGCCCACTGGTGCACTGGAACTGGGACTCTGAGCACACAGGACAATTAAGCTCATCGCTGTGGTCTTCACATTCAGTAAACCCATCACATCGCCAAGCCACAGGGATGCAGTCAATTTCTCCCGTGAAACAAGTAAACTGCTGAGGAGAACATGTTGGGGGTTCTTCAATAAACAAAAGGGGGGGAGTGACAAAAATAAGTGTCACGCAGAGATACAAATACACCTGAGTGGAGCTCACTTAATAATTAATATGTATTGTACAAAACTCTTCATAATAGATCAAATCTGTAATTCACCCATCTCATCTAATCAGAGAAGAAATAACAAAGAAAGAAACTGGTATAATCCACTCTACAGATGAATCTCAAAAATATTATATTAAGCAAGAGAATCTAGACATTAAAGAATATATACGTCATGATTTCTTCTATAAAGTTCAATAACAAGCATAGCTAAACTACAGGGATAAAAGTCAGAACAGTGGTTACTTTTGGAAGATGAGAATCGGCTGCTAATGGACACGAGGGTACTTTTTTTAATGACAAGAGTATATGTCTTGCTTTGGGTAATGCAATCGTACGCATTAGTTAAAACATGCTACTCATGTAATACATACACTAAAAATAATCACTAAATACAAAGAAAAATGCAAAGGTCTTTTAAAAGACTTCCAAATAAGAGGTGATATCCTTGATTCAATTTTATCTATGTTACTACTTCACAGAGGTCTGAGATTTTTCTGAGATTTGCCTTATTTCAGTTAACACCAGGACCCTGATAATGGAAGCATTTGCTTTTTAAAAAATTGTGTAAAACACATGTAGGGAAGCCCTCTATTTAACCATTTTAAAGCGTACAGCTCCGTGACATTGAATATGTTCACGGTGTTGGGCGACACTTGCTATTTCGAAGTACGAGAGCCTAACTCTCCCTGCGCACACACCTGATTGCCCCAGCCCAGCCGGTCTGTCTCACAGACCTTCAAATCTCCTGCAGTCCGAGCAGAGTGTCTTTTTTAAAAAGTAGGAAAATTAAAAGAATAAAATATTCCTATACTACCATTTTTTAATGATTTGTAACTTTTGCATATATAAGCCTTTTCGATCTTTGTTCACAGAAATATGTATTTTACCTATCTTTTATAGTAGAAAACACTTTTTACATCAGCTTATAATCATAATGTTTAATGCCTATATATAAACTCAGTTCCCTCTCATTAGAGGGAACTAGAAATCAGATTATTTTAACATTCCTGCCACTATAGAGAATAGTTCTTCCCTTCAGTTGAATTAACTATTCAGTTACAGAACAGGTTGAATGATCTGCACAGGAAAATGATAACACATTTACCTCCACATGATAGCTCATCCTGAAGCAGAACCAAGTGCATAGGGCAAGAGCACCTTGTAGTACCATCTCCTTTTACAAGACAAATATGTGAACAGCCACCATTATCCTGAGCACAGGGATGCTGTCCTGCAAGGAAGGGAGGGCGGGAAGACAGTTTAGTTAGAATCTACCACTTATGAATTATCAAGAAAACCAAATGTAAATCACCTTGGACTTTATTTGCACACGTATACGCTTCCTTGCTCCATCCCTACACAACCTTCAAGAAAATGAGGACAATGATTTAAAAGTGCAAAACACTGTCTGCACATATTTATATATAAAATATGTTGAATTACTTTAAGCAAGGTAATAACACAGCTCATTAATTTATAGGCAGAATGCTGAGACCTAGATATTGTTCTATTTAATAAACAAAATACTTCTATAGAATTTAACTCAGATCTTTCTAAAAGATAAGACGATATTACTCAAAAAGTATATTTTAATAAAGAATTCACTGATACAGGAAAAACCTTAAGTTCACAGGGAACTCAACCATTTGGAAAGAATCAAAATTATTTGCTTGGTCAACTGCAAAGGATAACCTGAAACGATACAAATGTTTCACTTCCTCATATTTGGGTTAAATTAAATAAATACACAGTCTGGCAACTTTTCAAACTCTGTCTCACAGGTTGTATTTAATGAAATCATTGCTGTGACTTTTCTACTTAGCATGTGTGAAAAGCAACTGGACATCTGTCATCACGAAACACCAACGTCTAATGGGGAGACGCCCACTGATCCTCTGACTCTCTTCACTAACACATCAGTTCTGCTTTAGCGTGTGCTCATGGGACTGCGCGGTCAGCTCCTGGTCCCAAAACACACACAGTCATTATATCAGGACACACGAACTGTACAGCAGTGTTTCTGCTCCTTTAATTCCATGAAACTTCTTTAAAGAAAATCTGACTTGGGGTGGAGAACACATAACACGACAATGCCACTAATCAATGTTACCACAATAAATTCAATAAAAAACGAATGTTAACCCCATTAGGGTTCTCAGCACAAATCATCAAAATCATGCCTCTCCTACTACTCTGGTTACACAGCAACCCTAAAACCAAACAGAAGACAACAGAGGGTGGCAAACCACTACAACTCCAAAGGGAGCTAAAGATACCGGATTCAGATACAAGAAAAATAAAGTAGTTGTACGCGAAATACAGACCCAGAATCAGCAATGACAGCAAAGTTCTTATCTTTCATAATTCTTCACTGGACCACACTCGGTCAAGTGCCATCTCCCCCTTCTGAGTACCGCCACCGCCTCAACTGATGTGCCTATGGGCCATTACACTTTTGATAGACATAAATCTCATTCTCTTTAATGTTATTAAATTGTTTACATGTTTTTCCAGGTATAAAACTATATTTAAATGTTGAATTATAAAAAAAAGATAACCCTGAACCCAGAAGTTTTGAAAAGCTCAAGTGAGATCTTACATCAACTGAATATGTAACTTAGGTACGGTGTCATTATTACCTTATTTCCATCTATTACATGTTCAGCTGAGTTACTGTACATGTCACAGCACAGAATGGCAACAATGCTAACTCTCAAATTCTTAAATATTTGTAAACTTAGCTTCTAAGTCCAAACAGTGGCAACATAACAAACACTTGAAGAAGCAATGGTGACCTCACTCCTCTATTCTTTCATATTCCTATTTGATTGGAAAGCGTTGTGCTGAGAAGTTGCAGAGTTTTAATAGTTCTCTTTAGTCCTCCATTTAACATTAGCATTCCTGGTACAACTGTGTAACACCTATAGTATTACTGGTGAGGGTACTTTTGATTACAGACAACTATTAATAAGGAACTAGGACAAAGATGATCGCCCACTGTCAAAGGTTTTCTTTAAAAGAAAAAAATATTGTTGATTACACTATTACAGTAGTCCCATTTTGTTCCTCCCCCTTGTTCCCCTCTGCTCTGCACCGCCCTCCCACCAACATTCCCCCATCTTAGTTCATGTGCATGGGTCGTACATGTAATTCTCTGGCTTCCCCATTTCCTGTTCTAGTTGTTTGCTTTTGTTTTAGGTGTAGTTGTTAATAACTGTGAGTTTGCTATCATTTTACTATTTGTGTTTTTTATCTTCTATTTCTTAGATAAGTCCCTTTAACATTTCAAACAGTAAGGGCTGGGTGATGATGAACTCCTTTAACTTGACCTTATATAAGAAGCACTTTATCTGCTCTTCCATTCTAAATGAAAGCTTTGCTGGATAGAGCAATCTTGGATGTAGGTCCTTATCTTTCATGACTTTGAATACTTCTTTCCAGCCCCTTCTTGCCTGATTTCTTTTTTTTTTAATATATTTTTTCATTTGATTAATTATGTCATTACATTTGTTCTATTGCCCCCCTCCATTCCCCTCCACTCTGCACACCCCTCCCCCACCATTCCCCCCCCTTAGTTCATGAACATGTGTCTCAAGTTCTTTAGATTCTATATTTCCCCTACTATTCTTATCCTCCCCCTATCTATTTTCTATCTACTGTCTACTGCTACTTATTTTCTGTACCTTCTCCCCCTTTCTCCTCCTCCCACTCCCCTGTTGCTAATCCTCCACATGATCTTCATTTCTATGGTTCACTCCTGACCTAGCTTTCCTCTTAGTTTGTCTTTGTTTTAGGTGTGGTTGTCCATAACTGTGAGCTTGCTGTCCTTTCACTGTTCATCTTTTTTATCTTCTTTTTCTTAGATAAGTCCCTTGAACATTTCATATAATAAGGGCTTGGTGATGAACTCCTTGAATTTGATCTTATCTGAGAAGCACTTTATCTGTCCTTCCATTGTAAATGAAAACTTTGCTGGATAGAGCAATCTTGGTTGTAGGTCTTTGGTTTTCATGACTTGGAATACTTCCTTCCAGCCCCTTCTTACCTGTAAGGTCTCTTTGGAGAAATCAGCTGACAGTCTGATGGGAACTCCTTTGTAGGTGACTGTCCCCTTATCTCTTGCTGCTTCTAGGATTCTCTCCTTCATTTTAATCTTGGCTAATGTAATGATGATGTGCCTTGGTGTGTTTCTTCTTGGGTCCAACTTCTTTGGGACTCTCTGAGCTTCCTGGAAGTCTATTTCCTTTGCCAGAATGGGGAAGTTCTCTTTTATTATTTGTTCAAATAAGGTTTCTACTTGTGATTGTTCCTCTTCCCCTTCTGGTACCCCTATAATTTGGATGTTGGAGTGTTTAAAGATGTCCTGGAGGTTCCAAAGCCTCTCCTCATTATTCTGAATTCTTGTTTCTTCATATTTTTCTGTTTGGTCATTTTTTTTCCTTCCTTCTGGCCCATTCCCTTGATTTGAGTCTCAGTTTCCTTTTCATTACTATTGGTTTCCTGTGCATTACCATTCACTTCAATTAGTTTAGCCTTCATATGTTCCTCTAATTTGTGACTAAAATCAACCAGTTCTGCGAGCATCCTGATCACCAGTGTTTTGAACTGTGCATCTGATCGTTTGGCTATTTCTTCATTGCTTAGATTTATTGGCTCTGGGGTTCTGAGTTCTTCTTGAGCCATGTTTTTATCTGTTTGTGCCTGTTACGTATGAGGGGCGGAGCCTTAGGTGTTCACCAGGGTGGAGCCACCCAGGTTGCTGGTTTGTGACGCTGTACTTGGGGGCAGAGTCAGAGAGGGAGCAATGGTGGTCCTCTCCACTCGCCCAGTCTGCCTCACCGCTCGCCCCCTGCCTGTTTATCTGAATGCAAATGTGCGAGCCCACCGTCCTGTGCTGCGCGGTCTCAATGCTTGCCTCTTTACTGGTTTATCTGTGTGCAAATGCTCGACTGACCGTAGACAGCCAGCCGCACCTCTTCCCTGTGTCCACCCGTAGCTAGCCTGCACCTGGGATCCGCGCCCTCGGCTGCCTGTGCACCGCCTGGGTCGGGGGATCTTCCCTGCCCGACCCGCTCTGCTGCTGGCTTTACCCCTCTCACCGGTTTAGCTGAGTGGTTCATTATTTTCGGACTCTGTATTGTCGATTTTCTGTGTGGTTTGGTTGCATTTATTGTTGTTAAAACTTTGTTGTTTTTAGGTTTGGTTGTTCAAGGACGCAAAGTGTTTCCACCTACGCCTCCATCTTGGTGGAAGTCCTGATTTCTTCTTATGGGAACTCCTTTGTAGGTAATTGTCTCCTCTTCACTTGCTGCTTTTAAGATTCTCTCCTTATCTTTAACCTTGGGTAATGCAGTTATGATGTGCTTTGGTGTGTGCTTCCTTGGATCCAACTTCTTTGGGACTCTGAGCTTCCTGGATTTCCTGGAAGTCTATTTCCTTTGTCAGATTGGGGAAGTTCTCCGTCATTATTTTTTCAAGTAAGTTTTCAATCTCTTGCTCTTCCTCTTCTCCTTCTGGCACCCCTATGACTTGAACATCGGAACATTTAAAGTTGTCCTGGAGGTTCCTAAGCCTCTCCTCTTTTTAAAAAAATTCTTATTTCTTCATTCTGTTCTGGTTGAATGTTTATTTCTTCTTTCTGATCTAAACCATTAATTTGAGTCTCAGCTTCCTTCCTGTCACTGTTGGTTCCCCTGTACATTTTCCTTTATTTCACTTTTCATAGCCTTCACTTCCTCTATTTTGTGACCATACTCAACCAATTCTATGAACATTCTGATTACCAGTGTTCTGAACTCTGCATTGGATAGGTTATCTATCTCTTCTTCGCTTAGTTGTATTTTTTTCTGGAGTTTTGATCTGTTCATTCATTTGGGCTTTTTTTTTTTGGTCTCCAAGTGCTTGATACATAGTAAGGAGCGGAGCCTTAAGTGTTCACCAGGGTGGGGCAACCCACTTCACTGTGTTCTGGTGCTGTATGTGGGGCAGGGGTCTGAGAGGGAACAGTGCTGCTTGCTCAGCTCTCTGCTGGCTTCACTCACTTCCCCTGCTACCCACAAGCAAATTGGATTCTTCTGGTGCTGATTCCCAGGTGGGCGGGTTTGTGTACATTCCCGGGCCTTAGGCCCTGTGGGTCTCTCCAAAAAACTCTCCTGTGAGGCTGGGAGTTCCTCCCACCACTGCCTCAACCCCCACAGGATTTTTTAGTCAGAAGTTTTGAGGCTTTATTTCCCCTGCACTAGAACCCTGGGTTGTGCTGTCTCTCTCACTGCCCAGTTGTTCCTTCTGCTTTATCCGGCCACTTCGCTAGCTGCCACCTTGTCTGGTTTGCCCTGGTCCTCCAGCCACTGCCTTGCTGTGAGTCCTCTCTCCCCAGCTGCCCTTTCCCCCCACCTCCCACCCATCTGGATGAATTTTTCTTCTTTAATTCCTTGGTTGTCAGACTTCTATACAATTTAATTTTCTGGCAGTTATGGTTGTTTTTGTTATTTTTTTGTTGTCCTTCTTTTGGTTGTGTGAGGAGGCAAAGTATATCTACCTATGCCTCCATCTTGGCCAGAAGTTCAAGTTTTCAATAAGATAAAAAGAATATTTATGGCTACTTTTCTAAGCTGAGAATGGAAAACTTTATTCAAGAAGGAAAAAAACAAGCACTTATTAATGCACTGTATTCAATTTTTGCACACTAATTTTTAGTTTGTTTTGCTTTTGCTAAAGAATAACATTACTCCACGATAACTATATTCACCATTATGTGAATATAACTTTTGTTTTTGTTTGGATTGTGAGGTATACAGGGAACCGAAGAAACATATGCCTTATATCAATATTCTTAAAGAGGCTGAAAGAGAAAGAGGAGAGAAACGACAGACATAACAAGCGGGGCCTTTGTTGTACCTGGGCAAAGTTTTGAAAATGACCATTCCTTTACCCCACTCCTATTTTATGAGAAAAAGATGTGTAATTTGAAAAAGCTCCCAGGTAACTTTAGCATGAAGATAAAAAATTGGAAAACCTAACAGTACATGAAAGTCTTCAGGATAAAGTGGTAAGAAGATACAAAAGAATATCTTATTTTTAGTTGAATTTCTTACAGTAAATACAAATCCTACAATTAGCAGTACACCATCAGCACTTACTATATTCCTGAAGGTTCAGCTCCTTTACTGCATGGATGTCACTGAGCTGAGCAATTCGAGCTTGGACTTTGGTTCTACCCTCTCGACCTGTCATGTCAATTTTTTCAATCATTTGTTGCTGCTTATCGATCCAGTACAGCCAATTTTCAAACACAGTCAGTCCCACAGGCTGCAAGATGTTGGAGTCCTCTAATACTACTCGGTTGGCACCTTGAAAAGAAGAACATTCACCAGAAATAATTTATGTGTCAAGTCATACATTCAACAATTATTTAATGAAAATTAAGATTCTAAAAGTTCTGAAAAGAAAAATATAAACTCTCTACTACAAAACGTCAGACTCATTCTTAGAAGATATACACATACCAGAAAATAGACAACAGACTAGAAATTCAAGTGCAATCAATAGCAAGTAAGTCCAATACACAGTTGTATTCTAATTCACAGAAATGTAGAAAAGAACTTAGAGCAGTTTTTGAATGATTTTTAAAGCTGAGTCCATTTTTCAAATGAAATTTTACGAAAAGCTCTAGCATATAAAAACAGAAGCATGTATTAAATGCATTCCAGTATAAAAGATTCTGTGGGAGGCTGAAAATGTGAAGCAGAAAAAGATACTATGATAAAAATATACATTATTGGTGACTACATAAAGAACAAAAAAAACCCCTGCCAATATTACACTAACCTTTCTCACAGAACACAGAAAAAGGGGGAACATTTTAATAAGGCAATGCAACCTTGACAGCAAAACTCCAAGTACATTGTAAGAAAAGAAAATTCTAGGGTATTCTTTCTCATGAACATGGATACAAACATCTTAAATGAACAACAGCAAATCCAAATCTATCAATGTATATAAAAAGGATACTGTATCATGCCAAGTTTGCTTTAGTCTAGCAAACTAGGAACAGAAGGTAACTCTCTTAATCTGATAAAAAATAGTTATCTACACAAAAACCTTAGCAAACATAATACTTAAAATCATAAAGTATTAAATGCTTCCCCCCAAATCAAGCAGTAAAGCCAAACAAAAAAACCCAAAGCTTCCATTATTATTAAAATCACCACTGTTCTGGGGGTCCCAGACAGTATAAGGCAACAAGGAAAAGGACTGGAAAAAAATAAAATTCATTATTTGTACACAAATGATTCTGTAACACAGAAAATCCTAAAGAAACTATAGGAACAAGTTCAGGATATCAAGGTGGGGGATGGATGGGGTAACAGAGGAACTGTACTTGTATGTTCCAGCTATAATCACAAAATAAAGTCTTAAAAACTTAGAATACTCTTTATCACTAGCATTCAGAAGCATTAAATACCAAAAAATTAATAAAAGATGGGTGACCTCTACACAGAAAACAATAATAAACATTGAGGGAAATTAAAGTTCCAAATAAACAGAGATAAACCAGTGTTCATGGTTTGGAAGACTAATATTACAAAGAAAATAATTCTACTAAATTGACGTATAAATCCAAAGCAAACCCAGTCAAAATTCTAGTAATGCTATTTCCAATTTTTCGCCACTGCCAGCAGTGTTGCAGTGCATATTCTCACGCACGTATCAGAACATGTCTCTATGGGCTAAACACAGCACTGGAACTGCTATATAATCTGGTGTGTATCAAATCATTATGAATAGATAAATCTAAGATGCTCTCCAAAATGATTACATCAATTTAAAATTCCCACCAGAAAAATAAGAAGTGGTATTGTTAGACTTCTAAATTATTATCAATCCAATTGTTTTATAAGTATATCCCATTATTTATAAAATCTACATTTCTCTGTTTGATACTGAGGTTAATTTATTGGTCCTTCATGTTTCTTCTCTGAATTACTATTCATAGTCTTTGCTCATTTCTCTATTACTGATTTCTAGACATTCTTTATTCAGAACAAATTTGGGGAGGGATATACAAGGGCTTCAAAATTCAAATGTTTTATTTCAAGAGAGAGGAGGAGGAAGCAGCAATGTTCAAAAGCAAATATGGCTGAACGATAAGATCTGACAAAGGTGAGGGGTAGGAACTCTGTGCTTTCTCCATGATGGAACCATTTCATAATTAAAGGTGGAAAAAAATGCACGGAAAAAAAAAGTTAATTCATTAAAGTGTTAAGTAACAATGATGGTATGAATTTTCCCTTTTTTGTATTTTCTAAACTGTCTCTAATGAACACGTTACTCTTACAACCAAAATAAGCATCATAAATGAAGAGAAACAGAGAAAAAAAGAGAAGGGGGAAAGTATCTTTAATACTAATAAAACAGTTAAAACATTGATATAAAAAGCAATTACACAAATTAAAGGTGATATAAAAGATATAGGTCATCAGATGAAAGGAAGAAACACATCATACTGAGTAAATATGCACACACATGCAAGTATGTCCATGACTATCTGAAATCAGAGAAGGTAAATGAAATGGAAGCATTTGAACCTGTAAAGACAGTATTTTTTTAGTTTCTTAAAAAGTACAAATGTATTTAAACATAAAAAATTCAAATGATACAAAAATAAATACTACTAACATATTAGTATGCTACCCTTTCAGACCTTTCTCAAAGTATATTTGTGCATTTCTCAAGGAATAAACAAACGTGCACCCATGTTCTTAAGAGTACATATACATGTCTCTATATATGTATACATACACGTATATATAGTATAAATTTTTTGGAGGGCAATTTGCCAATAAACACAATACCTATGAAATATTTTAAACAAAATTAGATCTTAATAAACAACTTAGTTTTTAAAAATTAACTTTCCATGCCACTGCACACAGACCTCCCTCATTTGTTGGAATGACTGTACTATTCCATACACGATATTGACTGTACCGAGGTCTGTCCAGAAAGTATCCATCCCCAGCCACATAATATGGAAGAGGCATTTACTGAAGAGGATACAAGATACAGGAAATACTATACATAGAACAGTGATGCCTCACGATTCATCCCCAGTTATGACCTTCTTGAGGAAATCTGGCCATTGGCAGTTCTTTGAATCAAGTCATTAGCAAATGCAGCAGGTTTTTACTTCTGCTCTGATAGCAGAAGCTGCGGAATGAACTTCGCCACAACATACTTCGTGTCAAGATTCTGTGTCAAAACCTCGGACACAGTAGTTTTCAGAATCCCCTGATCAGCTTCTAGTTCTCTCCCTGTCAGGTGCCCATCTTTGTTGCAAGAAGCCTGTACATGTTCAACATTCTCAGGGGTTTTGTTGCAGGCCTTCCAGAATGTGGATCACTTTCAACAGATTTTCGACTATCTTTGAAGCATTTGTGCCACACTTTTACTTGTGCTACATTCACTGCATCATCCCAGAAAGTCTTCTGAATCATCCAAATAATTTCCACAGAGGAATGTTCAAGCTTTAATGCAAAATTTGATGCAGATTCATTGTTCTACTCATTCAGCCATTTTGAATGCGACGGCCACAGAGTACACATGCTCACTCAACAAGTGTCTACTGCCCCCACTGACTAGTACAGTGAAGTCATCATTGTTCACATGTGTGCATTCCAGTCCACTCTCCTTGGCTGCCAGGTTACATCAATTCACACAAACTGTTCTCATTATATTGACAATGGCTGGACTTTTTCTGGACAGACCTCACAGTTCTCTGTAGTAGGCTATTACAAAATAATACTTAGAAAATACCATTCTACAATTGGGTCAACATTTCTGTAACACAGCAAGCTAAAAGGGCAATTTATTGGTAAACTGCCCTCCAAAAAGTTCTATCAATTTCTACTCCACCAAGTGCAGGGAAGCATGCTATTTTCTGCTATTCTTGCTAATGTTGGGTATAACCAACTCTAACATATTTATGCCACTCTGCGAAACATAAATAATGTATTATTTTTAAGTTCATTTTCACGATCACTAGTGAGACCACACAGAATATTTGGACATCAGAAACTGTGGGAAGAAGCAACTATGATTGTAGATAGAGGACTGCAGAGAAATGCTAAAGTAAAACTACATCTGAAGACCAACAAATGATTTGAATTGGTCTCAAAATACTGGGAATGTTATAATCATTTGAGTTTGCTGACGAGCTTATGAAAGGTGAATACCAACTACACAGCTAAACTTTTTTTCTTCAGGTTATGAGACTACCCTGAAGATTATTTTAGTACAGTAGTGACATGAGTACAAACCATGCTTCGGAAAATTAATCTAGAATACTGTGCAAACATTTAAGACTGGGGGATCAACAGGGATGAAACTAGTCACAGGTTAGAATTCAGGACAGAGATGATGAGAAATAAAGTGGAGCAGAAGAATTAGGAAAGGAGCAGAAATACGTCAGAAATATATTTACAGAGCCAAGCCCAAATGAGTATTGGCAAGTTATTAGATAACAGAGGGAATAATCATATTGATGGCTGAAGAAAAAAGTTCTTCCTAACTTACGTAATGTTCACTATTTTTAGTGAAAAAAACTATCAAGAAATGTGTACAAAAATAATACAATGGAAGAAAAATACAAATGCTACTGGTGAATCATCTTAATACTTCAGATCAAAACAAGGAAGCAGGCCCTGGCTGGTGTGGCTCAGCTGACTGAGCACTGGCCTGCAAACCAAAGGGTCACTGGTTTGATTCCCAACCAGGGCACACGCCTGGGTTGTAGACCAGGTCCCCAGGTAGGGGTGTGCAAGAGGCAACAGATTGATGTATGTCTCATACATTGATGTTTCTCCCTCCCTCTCTCTTTCTCCCTCCCTTCCCCTATTTCTAAAAATAATAAAATATTTTTTAAAAATAAGGAAATATATTTGGGGGGTACCTGAGAGATCACTGCTTTCAATTCGCCGGAGATCTGAATCAGCCCAAAAGAGTTTGCCCAATCTGCTATCGAGGGCTAAAGCAATTGGCTTACTCAAGCCACTGAAAAAGAGGACCTCCCGTTCTGTTCCATCCAGAGCAGCTCGTTCAATTTTCGGAGACCTTTCCTGAAGATTGGTAAAATACATATACCTAACGAGGAAGAAGGAAATAATAAGTTTACCAAAATAAGAAACCATATGAAATGAGAAGATTCTTATTGATTAAAACCAAGACAGGTAGAATATTTAAAAATCTGATTTTGAAATGTTTTAAAATATTTTTTAAAAGGTTATGAGATACTATTACTTTCAGTAACAATAACAAAGGGTACACAGAATTTCTGAGGGAGTTAACTTTCAAGGATTGATAAAACAAAGTGTTAGACACAGGCAGTTACATTTTTGAAATACTACAATAAATTAAAATAAATGAAATAGATAAGCAGTAACCAGAGACCTGGACACAAAATTTTAAATTCCTTCCCTTATTGTCCATTTCATAACTAAAAATAAGTCATAAAAGTTGTTTTTTATATTTAAGTTCTAGAGTTCATCTTTTTCCTGTAACTTTTGAAGTGAGCTACTTTCATGCTGAATTGTTTATCATTCATTCAGATGCAAATACATGCAATTTATTAAATACAAAGATCTGTATTAAATGAAAGAAGATATATTAATTCTTGGCATAGAGGACCCTAAATACTAGTAGGAAATATATGACTAAAAAATAAAAGTGGTAAGGTCAATTAGAAAGGACTAGATATGACTAGAGAGGCACAGATATAATAGAGGACTGGGCATTTAGGAGAGGGGAAAATCGCATCTGGCTAGGGCTGGAGGAGATCAAGGAAAACTTCAAGGAAGATGCTGCAGTTCAAATGGTCCTAGAAGGATGGGTAGAAATGAAAATTAAAGCAATAGAAAGGAACAAAGAAAATTCTAGGCAGTAAAATGAGAGAAAGGAAGATAATACAGGGGCAGATATTTTTCATTGTTAACACAGGCTATTGCAGGGTAAATCAAAAAGGAATGCAAAAAAAAGGCTGATGAGGGTCTGAGATGCCAAGACATCTGAATGGTACCTCAGTAACATACCCTTTCTCTGGGTTTACCACAATGGCTCGAGGTCTGTCTTGCTCGCCTTTTAGCACCACTCCAATTGATCTCCCATCTAATCTTGTTACATTAATGACATTGGTGGCCTCACAAGTCCAGTAGATGTAGCGGCTATAAATATCAATGCTGAGGTCATAGGGTTGTATTTCTAGGTTTTGATTTGGAACTGAACTCACAACCACAGTAAAGCCCTAGGGAAAGAAAAAGACACACATACACATAGAAAATCAGACTCCAAACCAGATAGCCCCGAGGCGATCATTTACAGTACTTACATTTATATGGTCGCTCATCTGAGAAGGAAGTCTCAAGGGATATTTCTTACTGACACTTTTTTGTAAGTAATATGCTTCTTTGTTAACAGGGATTTCAAATGTTCCCTTGGGTTATTATGGCATGGGGCAGCAGAGTGAGCTAAGGCCACATTAGTTGCTCTGAGAATCTGACAGTGCACTGATTAGAGATGAGTGTGAGAGTGGGCAGCTCTCTCTTACAGGAAACCCTGCCTAGGACCACACCCTACAAATACCCCTAAAGCAGTGGTTCTCAACAGGGGCATCTGACAATGTTTGCAGATATTTTTGATTGTCATGACTATGGGAGGTGTAACTGGCATCTAGTGATCACAGGCCACAGGTGTTGCTAAACAGCTAACGATATTCAGATCAGTCCTCCACAACAAAGAATTATCCAACCCAGCTCTGGCTGGCATGGTTTGGTTGACTGGAACATCATCTCGTGGACCAAGCCGTCTTGGGTTTGATCCCCAGTCAGGGCACATGCCTGGGCTGCAGCTTTGGTCTCATGTTGAGGTGTGTGTGAGAGGCAACTGATGGATGTTTCTCTCTCACACTGATATTTTTCTCCCTCTCTCTCCCCCTTCCTTTCCCTTATCCAGGTGATGATTTAAAAAAGAAAAAAGAATTATCCAGCCCCAAAATGTCAATAGTACTGAAGCTGACAAACTCTGCTCTAGAGACAACAGCAATTAGGGCTATAAACCGTGTCTATCAGTCAGGCCTGCCTATAACCCTCAAATCCACCCCCCCCAAAAAATTCTTTTTACAAAGCCAAGCAAAAACAGAGCCTTTCGTTCACCTGTTCTAGCTGAATAAATTGATATTTTATTTACTCAGCATCTCTGAGGCAATGCATTCCTTAATGAAGCTATCTTACTTACTTGCCACATCCTTAGCTGTATAATAACAGCTCTAATTTCCTTCTACAGGTCTTGGCCCACAAAGAGTAACATGTGGGCCACAACATACCGCTATTGACTACACAACTCAATGATCCCTCAGTAGCCCTAAGTATCGGGTTGGCCAAAAAGCCCACTTTGGTTTTTCCCATAAGATGGCTCTAGTAGTACTTAGTTGTCTTTAGCTTCATTGAAAACAACTTTGATAGATTGTACTGTGACAGCTGTCATATCAGGATGCATTTTTAAAAACTTATCAAAATTGGTGAGTTTTTGTATAGCCATTTTAATATCAAAGATGGAAGAAAAGTGACATTTTCAGCGTATTATGCTTTATTTTAAGAAAGCTAAAAACACAACTGAAACACACATAAAAGATTTGTGCAGTGTATAGAGAATGTGCTGTGACTGATCAAATGTGTCAAATTATTGGTGAAAATGAAAAATGTGTCTTTTATGTTATAAAAAAAGCCATTCAGCCTTTTTGGCCAATCCAGTACATTATCCCTTTGCTCTTCTGTGTGAGAAAAGACATATAAAAAATCAGTAATCTCATCTCCCTAAATTTTAAAATGTTCAAAATCAAACCTAACGTTATTACTGTGAAAAGATAACAAATAATTATTTATAGCAATCCCAGTCTTATACTATTCGGACATAAAAAGAAAGCAAAGAAGTATGGAAAGCATACAAACCATGACTGGTATGTAAGCATAGGTAAGTTGTGTTGATAATGTTTTCATTCCCATCCTATAATCACCAAATATTTACCAAAAAAATCCGGCTGGATTAATAGCATACCCTATCGGGAGGGTCCAACCTGCGGTCCATGGGCCACATGCAGCCCAGGATGGCTGTACATGTGGCCCAACACAAAATCGTGAATTTACTTTAAACACTGCGAGAATTTTTTGTGATTACATATCGCAATGTATTTAATGTGTGGCCCAAGACAACTCTTCTTCCAGTGCAGCCCAGAGACGCCGAAAGGTTGGACAGCCCTGTTAGATGTCTTTAATTTTACTGAGGCTGTATTGTGTGTTTATTATCCTCTGAACTTTTTAAATAGTTATTTAACTAGTAATTGAACCGTTACTTATTGAGTCTCTTATCATGTAACATGATAATGTTACTATGTGCTCTACAGTCCATTCAGCTAAAAAGTTCATAAAAATCCTAATGCGTGATAGATCCGAGTTCAGAGCTGAGGTCTTTTCGATTTCAAAGCTTCCAACACTCCATGTAAATGAAACCATAATGGGAAAAAAAACTGTATAAATGGATATGGATGGCAGCGAGTAAGTCATTACCAATATATGAGCATCAGGTATCTAAATATAATTTTCATTCCAATAGCATTACCAAACAATTATACGCTGAAAGATCATTAGAAGAGGAAAAAGCTGCTCAGTCTAGAATTTCAGTTTCACACACATACATGCACATGGAGAATCAACACTTAAATAAAATAAAATAAATAAAATAAAATAAAATAAAATAGGATGACTGGTTAGTCCAATTACTAGGAAGAAAAACATGGCTTTTGCACTGAGCCTTGAATTACCTGGCTGCCATCCTCTTGAGCTTTTCGGATCATGTTTTGTCGTGAATCAATCCAATATAGTTGCTTGTCCAGTGGGTCATAGTCAATGGCCCGGACATTCCGAAGGCTGTGGATAGGAAGGATGATGTCAGGGCTCTGCTGTTCATCAATTACCATGCGGTTGATCGCACTTTTTTGACTGAAGAGCAGGAAAGTAGTTGGAGCTTAAAGAAAGAAAAGAGCAAATCTGAAACACAGACTAAGTCCTGCATCACTCAAAGATATGATCAGCCTATAGCTCTATCTCATACAAAACACACATACATGTTAAAGAAATAAAAAGGTTAAGATTGAGCATAAAACCCTTTGGAATAATATCCCCAGAAACTTTCTTTAAAGTGACACAAATCAGCACTCTGGTTACCAAACCAGTTATGAATTTACTCAATGACATAGCTACCTAGCCTCTTTTTTTGTACAGTGGTATCGCAGAAGGCTTGATGTCAATGAAGCATTTGACAAAGATATACAAAAGTCTCCCTGTTTATGAAGTAAATAATCCCCTACAACTTTTTCTTGTGAGTGAGAGGAAGCCTGGGCCTTCAAAGTTCAAAGCAGAAACTTCAAGGCTGGCCCAGGCCAGGTGGCTCAGCAGTTTGGAGCATCGTCTGGTACACCAATGGTTGTGAGTTCCTTCCCCAGTCAGGGCACACACCTAGACTGCAGGTTCAGTCTCCGGTCAGGGCATGCATAGGAGGCAACAGATCAGTGTTTGTCCCCCCGCCCCACTCCCTATCCACTCTCTAAAATCAGTAAAACATATCCTGAGATAAGGATTAAAAAAGCAATTAAGACTAGCTTTAGTCTCAGCTCCCTCACTAATTAGTCACTTTATCTTAACTAAATCACTGAACCTCTTTGCACTGATGTTTATGCAACTCTGAAGTAAGGTTTTAGCTACTTTGTCTTGCTCACTGGGTTGCTATAAGAATTTTATAATGTATGAAAAATTACTTTAAAAGTTATAAGGCATTATGTCAATTATAATGTAATGCAAATTGTAAGGCATTATGTAAATATAAAGTAAAAGTAACTATCTTTTATTGTTACTAGTAGCAACAGCAATAAACTTGGTATTAATAGAAATCAAACAAACCCTGATGGACTGCAGATATAGGCTTTATTTTGCATTGACTGTATGTGGTTTTCACTGTGAGAAGGAGCTGGTAAAAATCTCTCTCGTCCTGCCAAACTAGTAATAAATGCTTTTACTTACTATCTCTAATCCTCATAACAAAACCTGTATTTATATTTTCACTAAAAATATATTCTGCTCTGACTCTAAGTTGATGCCCTAAATTTATGAAATGGGGTAATGCGACAGAAACGACGTTACCCTCTCCTAGGGACTAGGCCTCTCTGGCTGCTGCTGAGCATCTTTAATGCAGGAAAACATCCAGGAAATAAGAGCATTTGACAGTGAGACCAACAACTTCAGTCTCACAGCATTTAAAAATCTTCATTAAAAATACTTAAAATTTCATAACATTTTATTCTCTTAGGAGTCAGCCATCAACTAAATCCAGTAGAATTTTGCCCTTCTCGGGGAAATAAACATAAATGGTGAAGCTTGACGCCTTCTCTCCCCGCTGTGCCCCATTCTTTATGGCTCTATTATTTGTGGTTCCCTGCTTTACTTTACTTTTACACCCAAATGCATACTGCCGTGAATCCTGGAGAAACTCACTGGTACTCACAAAGGAATTTGGTATTCATAACACTTGAATTCTGCTCTAAGTTCTTCACTGGCTAAAAGCCCACACTTAGCTTGGAAAATTTAGAACATATTCCAATGATCCCACTGGAGTTCTCTATTATCTTGAGTTCATCACATATTGATTTAACAACTTTTAGCAATTTTAGTAGAACTTGTGCCTTAAGTAGCAAGAACACGTGTCACAAGAGAGTAGCTCATAAGTCCACCCATTTCTTCCTTCCTTTTTTTAAAAAAAATTTTACTTATTTTTTGAGAGGGGGAAGTGAGGGAGAAAAACATTGAGGCAAGAGAGAAACACTGATCAACTGCATTCTACACATGCCCCAAACAAGGACAGAACCCACGGCCTGGGCATGTGCCCTGACTGGGGGTGAAACTAGCAACCCTTCGCTTTATGGGATGATGTCCAATTAACTGAGCCAAACTGGTCAGGACTCCATTTAACAACAAACTGACAGTAACCAGAGGGGAGTGGGGAGGGGATACCAGGGAGGGAAAAGGGGGAGGGTCGTCAAGGAACATGTATAAAGGACACATGGGCAAAGCCAAAGGTGAGTAGGACAGGATCAAGGATAGGATCAAGGATAGGAGGTGGGGATGGGTGGGGCGGGAGGGACTGGTGAGGGTGAAATGGAAACAACTGTACTTGAACAACAATAAAAAAATTATTTAAAAAGTGGTTTTTTGGGGCAGTACTTTCTTGTAAAGCAAGAGAAAAGAGAAGTCTTGAAATTGTAAGTTTCCAACAGCATAAGCACAACCTATACTAAGACATACAACGAAACTCAGAAGACCCCAAATTTTAGTCACCAACTTTTCCTGACTGGGAAACAATATCAAATATATATATATGTGTGTGGTTCCTAGTATGCTTTATTGAACATTATTTTTAAGTCAAGTTTTAACCTTCAATAAGGTTCTACAACTGGATGTTCTAGAAATGTGGATTAAGACAAAGCCAAACATGGCTTGAAATAAACGTTTGTTTCAAGAAATCTATGAGTAACATTAGCAATTAAAATTAGTTGACTTAATGTTTCTAAGAAGAAGCTGATGTTTTGACTTATTTACAAGTCATTCAGTGTTTAACGTAAGAAAGAATATACAATTTTGTAAGCCTAAATGCATCCTAATTTATGTAACCTCTAACCACCTTATCTTCTGGGGAACGGTGCTTTAAAAACAGTTCTATCAGGCTGTCTGAGTTTTATATTCCTGCGATGAAAAAGCCATGTGCAGAAGCTGGAGGATGAGGTGCAAGCAGAGGGAGCTTCTTAGCTCTCTGTTGAAGGTTTAAGTGTTCACCTGTAGCTTAAAGGCACTGCTCTTGTGTAAGAACAGCAAAATCCACAAGGCCTGGCCCAACACGTCTTACTGTGCCAATAGGCATCGGGTTGAGACTGAAGTACAATCCATACTTCATTACCTAAGCCATGTACTTGTGCAGCTGCTTCTGTCCAGAGGAAATATCTTTTCCCAGTTTGCACAAAGGTGCTATAGAAATCAGCCACTTCAGTACTGAACAAGGGATTACACAATTTGATTTCCTGTTTCCTCTCTGATGTAATCTATTTGTTCACTCAGTTCCAACACTGGCCTCCTAGGTGTTCCTCTAATATGCCAGACATGTTCCCTCCCTAGGGCCTTTGCATTAGCTGCCCCCTTTTTCTCGTTAGGTCTCCCCCCCGATATCCACATAGCTCATTTCCTCCCCTCCTTCAGTTCCTGACATGTCACTTTTTAGTAGTGACTTCTCTAATAACCCTATTTAACATTGCAATCCTCCTCCCAACATTTTTCACTTATTATGTCTTCACAACACAGATCTCCATCTAATCCATGATATAGTTTACTTAATCCATTAGTTATCTGTTCCTGTGGAATGTAAGCTCCAGGACAGCAAGGACTGATGCCCATTTCATTCACTGCTATGTTCTCCACAGGCTCAAATAATGCCCAGTATAGAGCAGATGTTCAATAAATATTCACTGATCAGATAAATAAAATTTTTAAAAAGCATTACATGACGATAACTAAGGAGAGCCATGTAGTTCTGATTTTGAAATTAAGAAAATAAACTTGCTTCAGAGACTTGGGACAAAAAACGAACGAACATTTATTTAAAACCTCCAATGTGTCACGCTTCATACAAGATATTATTTAATCCCCATCTCCACTTTAGACGTGAGTAAACTCAGAAAGGTTAAGTAATTTTTAAAGGAAGCCTTAAAAGTTGAAGTATTTTTCCAAGGCTACAAGGTGGAATGGAAGAGGACACATATTCTTCCAAATCCTGTTCTATTCTTTCATTCTTTTATTTAACAATGATTTACTGAATGCCTATTTTACCTACTGAGCACTACTTGAGGTACCTAAGATATACTGGTGAAAAAAACAAGAAAAAAATGCTACTTTGTGGAGTTTATATTCCAACAGATAGACAATACGAAATAAACATAATAAAGAAGTTATAGTATGTAAATAATACAGTGTATAAACTATATAGTATGTTAAAGAGTATTAAGTGTTATAGGAACATTGTTCTTTGTATATTGTTCTTTGTTAAGTGTTAAAAGAAAAGTAAGCACAAGTAAAGAGCACTGGCACTGCTAGACAGGGCAGAAGGGCAATATGCAAATCTTAAACAGGGTAGACCAGGTCTCCCAGGGAAAGTCACGATGACGAAGACTTGGAGGTGAAGTGCATCTGCGCGAATATTTGCAGGAAGATTATTCCAAGCAGAGGAAATAAGCAGGTGGGAGTAACGGGAATACTGGAAAACTGCAATGGGGCTAGTACGGTCGGTCGTCTTGGGAAGAGCAAGGAAGAGAACAGTAAAAGCTGAAGCTATAGAAGCAAAAGCGGGGGGGTTCCAGTCCTGGGTACAGGTCATGTAGGAACCTGTAGGCCATTATAAGACTAGGTGTTTACTCTGTGTGAAATGGGAGCCACTGTAAGGTTTTAAGCATAGAAATATGATCTGATTTAACTTTTGGAGCACAGGTCAAGCAGTAAATTACACAATGTAAGAAAACATTTTAAGGACAAGTACTTTGTGTTAAACTTTTCTGGTAGTCTGCCTTAAAATCTAATACATCTATGCACAAATATTAAATAACACTATTATAATAAAAAAAGCACACAACAGAAGGCCTGAGTCACTGTTGCTGTACCTTGGAAAAGCAGCCTAACACAGTTATTAGGAACACTCAGCGCTGATTTCTCATGGCCTTCACTGACCAACTAACATGCCCTCATGACAATGATCTCAAAAGGTCTTTCCGCCGTCGTCTTGTCTCTGCCCTCAATCAGTTATTGCCCCCATTTCCTCCTTCCATTTAAAACTGAACTTCTTGAATAAGACATCTACATATACCTCCCATTCTTCTTTCCATTCACTTTTTGACCTACTTCAGTCTTTCACCATTACTTCCCTGACATTATTCTCTTCAGGGTTACAAAAATGACCTTATCCAAAAATCCGATGGATACTATTCTAGGCCTCATCTTACTCAACCTCTCAAGCAACATCCAGGAGAGTTAATTCTCTTTGAAACGATCTTATCTTTCGTCTTCTGTGTCCCTATTCTCTGCTGGTTTTCCTCTTACCTCTCTGGCTGCTAACTTTTCAGTATCCACTGCAAGCTCGCCCTTCTCAGCCAGAGCTCCGTAAGTCACCCAATGCCTTCTTTTCTCTAAGAAGGAGTTGGCAAATTATGGTCCACAAGTTAAATCTGGCCTGCTGCCTGTTTCCGTAGTAGTAAAGTTTATCAGAACTCAGTACATTTTAAAAATGTATTGTCTATGACTAAATTCATGCCACAGCAGACAGTGTTGAGTACATGTGAGAAATTTTACAACTTACAAAACCTAAATACAATACTTACTCTCTGGCCCTTTACGGAAAAGATTTGCTGACCTCAGCCGTACATCTTCTCCCTAAGTAACTCCCCTATTTTAAAACCATGCTGGCAATTCCAAAATTTCTATCTCCAACCTCATCTCTCTCTGAGCTCTGGGATCTTCTGGCCAATTTATTTAGTATTTATATTGCAATGCCACACAGAAATATCAATACAAACCTGCCTAAAATTAAATTTTTATTTCTTCCTGAAAACCATCTTTCCTCTCCATACTTCCTCATCTACTGCCTACTCACTTACCTGATCAAACCAAGAATCTAGACATCATAGTTGCTTTCTTCCTCTTCTTCCCCACACACAAGTCCTGTTCATTCAGGCTTCGAAATACACCTTGACCACTCCCACGGCCACCACGAAGTCCAAGGCTGCTGACGCTGCCACACTAGTCTGACTGACTTCTCTACCACTTCTCCTCCTCCTCAAACCCATTCTCCACAGCAGTTAATCCTGTTATACCTCATCTGATTTTCACAGCAACCCTACAAAGTAGTTACTACTATTATTCCCATTTTACAAATGAGAAAAATTAAGGTTTCGAAAAACTAATGTGACATGCTTTAGTAAAACACAAACTAACATGGAAGACTCCAAATCATTAAACTATAAACTTATGTTCCTTTTCATGACTGAAGAACCCTATCTTTTCCTATGTGATTTCTTATATTCAAGAACAGAATAAAGTAATTTCAAAAATTACACCCCATGTTGTACAGTTTTATATCTTCTACCCTAGTGAACCATACTCTACTTTTCCCCCACGGATCTACTTTTTCTGATCTAATTCTCTATTTCTTTATCATATCTACCAACTTGTTCTTGTGTATCCACTGCCATGGGCTTTCATGAATACTTAGAGCATGAACTAGGTTTCCCTAAGCCAACATGTTTTGTTATGCACTGTGCTTTGATGTTAGGGGTGTGTGTGTGTGTGTGTGTGTGTGTGTGTGTGTGTGTTTAATATGCACTACCTATTAACATCTGAGGTCGGGAGATATTGTAGCCCCCCCAAAAAATCTGGGTTCAAGACTACACAAGAAGATCTGGTAACAGCAACTGAGATTCAGTAGCGACCACCCACCATGTTCACAGCACGTGCTTTCTAGTTTCCCATCTACTTGTGACTGTTTCACATTGAACTAACTTTACTCAATGCCTTTTCTATCTGGCCTTTTACATTTTTTACACTTACATTTTTTAATATTTAGCCTATTCTATGAGCTTCAAAGGACAAGGTGTTTATATTTTGGAGATTCTTTTTGTTGTACTGCTCTTTTCTTCCTTTACAATAAATAAATATGAATTATGTACAGCACACATGTAGGACTGTCTGTCTCTCCCAATGAAGCTATGCAAATTTTGAACTAAATCTTAATATTGAAGGGGAAAAGATTTTTCTGTAACATCAAATATTCCATAATATCAACTAGCTATCATCGAGTAAAAAGTAACAAAAACATGTATTTTTCCATCTCTAGTCCCTCCCTTTTTTATTAAACAAAGGACCAAATTAGGGGTCCTACAATGTTTCACTCTAGAAAGAACATTAGCCACATTTTCAAAGTCCTGCTTTCTCCTCTAATTCTAGTTTGCTCTGGGGACATGCAGCTTACCACTGCAAGTCCTGTTGTCAGCATTGAGAGAGTAGTGGGCGGGGCATCCACACACATAACCTCCAACTGGCACAGCCAAGCAGAGGTGGGAGCAGTGCCCATTGCTGGAAGCACACTCATTCCACCCAGCCTGCCGAGAGGAGTGAAAGACGAGGATGTCCATCACATAATCCAAATGGCCCTGAATGATGGTGCGGTTTTGGCCACTAGTTTTGTTGGCACGCTCAATGCTGCGTCGGCTCCAGTCCGTCCAGTAGATGTAATCTTGGTACTGAGTTAAGCCAAAAGGATGAGGCAAGTCATCTGCTATAACTTCACGGTTGAGTCCTATTTTCGGAAAGGCAGTAGAAGGGGAAAAGCGGAGGGATGAAATACGTGAGACTATGAGTCTTGCTGCCCCCTCCCCCAAATTGTAACATATAAAACAAACATTTGTGAGCAATTTAAAATTGAACAATTCATTTAAAAGCAATTCTAAAACCAGACCAGTCCTGTGAAATCAATCCATCTGCAGCCTGACCCCATGCCTCAAGCTTATATTCTTGCTATAAATCTCTGAGTTTGTTTAAACTCCTGCAAATGGTCTCTTTTGATCGTGGTCTTATTTTCTCTCAATAAGAATCTATAGTCCAATTTTTCTTCTTGCTTCCACAACAAGATGGAAATGCACATATTTTATTGTACTGATACAAAAAATCACTGCAGGAATATCTAGGGAGTTATAAATTCCATTACAAGTACAACACTAATGAAATTTCCACATAATAAAGAGATATGAGTCCAAGTGCCTAGCCCACTATTAGTAACAATAAACAGAATATGATGCCAAACGGAGGTAGAATCTAGACATTTATGAGAAGTTTTATTGATAGAATCTACCCAATGGTAATAGCAATCTTTCTGATTTTTGCATAGAAAGAACAATATACAAAAAACAATATACTACTATCTGCAAATAACAAGTAGAACCTACCCAGCATATTTGAAGATTCTATTAAGTTGGTGTCCAGGTCTGTCCAGTAGAGTCTCCTTTTAGCATAATCAATCGTTAGGCCATTTGCACGCCCCACATTGGGAACTAACGTAGTACGTTCACTTCCGTCCATGGCAGCTCTGTCTATCTTAGGTTTTCCACCCCATTCAGTCCAATACATAAATCTAAATTTTAAAAAATGGACATTTAACATTTCACTTTTTATTATTGGGGAGAAAGGGCCATATTCAGGCATAGTTAATTAAATAACTTTAAAGAAAATATACATTAAATCAAGGAAATTGGTAAAACAAAATCAGAGCTATAATTTTTCAATTATTTTGGCACCCTCAACTAAATATATTTTCTCATATCCTAAAAAGGAAGTGAGTCAGCTTTCCTTAGTTTTTCCAACGAATCTGTTCCATCCAAAACCTACGAACTGGAAACAAACCAATGAGCTCCTTACTGCAACACTTGCCTTTATAAAACTAATATTCAAGACACTGGGAAAGGATTGAAGCTCTGGTGTCTGAATCTGGTTCATTTCTGAACAAAATATCTTTATGTACTTCTGAATACAAGTAATTTGTCTTTTTAAATGTTTTAAACTTACTTTTTGACTTGTCTTATCAACTCTTCCCAAAATCAAGCAGCAGGAGTACATCAAAAGTGTAAGTTAATAGCCTTTAACTGGTGAAAAAGTGAAGTTTGAAAATACTCATATATTTGGTCAACATGGTCCCAGGGAACAGACTATATGTGTAAGAGCGAGGACACCCTTTACTGTGTTATCTGGGCAGTGAATGCTACTCCTGTAATCACTATAAAACTTTAAAATGTTCTTCTGTTTTTATTTTACTTGGTCGAGTTTTTCACTTTACCCTTGGAGAAGCCCTACAGTCCTATAGGCTTTTTATTTATGAGGAGGCCAAAACACTAAAAGAAATAAATGATTTTTCTAATGTCTTCAAGCCAGTTACAAGATAGAGCCAGAACCAGATGCTGCTATTCCTTAACCAGCGGCCCTTTCAACTAAAACTAGTAAGGAGCTAGTTTGAAAACACTCTAATACTAGGCCTAGGAAAGCACTCCACATGCCAGCTCTCGTCAAATACCTGAGGACGGACATTCACTCGTCAGCCTGTCAGCTGATGACTGACTGGGTAGCAATGCTTTTCTGAAAAAGTAAAGTTGGTCTTGGACCTTGTTTGCATCTGCACTTGTCAGCTGACAGGCACGCGCACACCCACAAGAGCCAAAGAGAAACAACTGTGAGAGAAATTTCACAGTTGCCAGCAGCCACATAAACTCGAGTCCTTAGTCCCAACTACTAAATTTATCTGTCTGGTAACTGAAGCTCAAAGTAAAAGATCACCACAATACAACCACAACATGTCAGCACAGAGCTGGCTTTGGTATGGCCTTCGAATTAAGTGGCTAACTAGCTAATTGTGGAATTAAAGTCACTTCAGAAAAACTACTTTTAATAATAGATACGGTAAAATATGCCTCTATGTTTACACTGTTAACTTCTGCTTTTATTTTTTCCTGATATATCTCCTCAGGCAGAGAAAAAAAATAAATGGGATGACATCAAACTAAAAAGTTTTTGCACAGCCAAGGAAACCATCAACAAAATGAAAAGACAACTCACAGAATGGGAGAACATGCTTGGCAATACATCTGATAAGGGGTTAATATCCAAAATGTATAGAAAACTTATAAAAATCAACATCGAAGAAACAAACAATCCAATTTAAAAGATAAGCAAAAGACCTGAATAGACACTTTTCCAAAGAGGACATCCAAATGGCCAATAGACATATCAAAAGATGTTCAATGTCACTAATCATCAAAGAAATGCAAATTAAAACCATAATGAGATACCACCGCACACCTGTCAGAATGGTCATCATCAATAAGTCATCAAACAAGTACTGGTGAGGATGTGGAGAAAGGGGAAGGAACCCTTGTGCACTGTTAGTAAGAATGCAGACCAGTGTAGCCACTATGGAAAACAGTATGGAGTTTCCTGAAAAGTTAAAAACGGTCCTGGTTGGTGTTAGCTCAGTGGATTGAGCATGAGCCTGAGAACCAAAGGGTGTGGTTCAAATCCCAGTCAGGGCACATGCCTGGGTTGCAGGCCAGGTCCCCAGCAAGGGGTGCATGAGAGGCAACCACACATTGATGTTTCTCTCCCTCTCTTTCCCCTTCCCATCTCTCTAAAAATAAATAAATTAAACCTTAAAAGAAATTAAAAATGGAAGTGCCTTATGATCCAGTGATTCCACTTCTAGGAATTTATCCAAAGAAACCCAAAACATTAATCACGAGAATATATGCACCCCCATGTTCATTGTAGCAGTTTTGCAATAGCCCAGGTTTGGAAGCAGCCCATGTGTCCACCAGTAGATCAGCAGATAAAACAGCTATGGTGTATTTACACAATGGAATACTACTTAGCCATAAAAAAGAAAATTTTATCCTTTACAACAGCATGCATGGACCTGGAGAACATTATGCTAAGTGAAATAAACCAGTCAGAGAAAGACAAATACCATATGACTTCACTCATGTATAGAATCTAATGAACAAACTCAACTACAAGCAAAATAGAGACAGACCCATAAATTGAGAGCAGGCTGACAGTTCTGGGTAACTGGGGAGTGGACTGATCAAGCAAAAAAGAAAAAAAGAGAAAGAACTCATAAACATGGACAACAGTATAATTATGGGGGAAGGTGGGTGGGTGGAGGAGGAAGAGAGTATAGGGGAGATAAATGGGGATAAAAAATACAATAAAATAAAATTAAAAAATATTTGCATCAAGAGGCATTAAAAATGTGGAATTATTCTTCAGACTTCAGATCTTTTAGCTGCTAGCTTTATAAAATTTTCTAAATCATGCAGAAAAATCATCTACTCTCAGAAAACGTCACTTTTTAAATAAATACTTTACTATTTATCAAAAACAGTTAACTGTTTAATACCAAAGTGTCTCCAAGCTTATAATAATGACTAAAACAGCTGTCTTCCTGAATTAATGAGTATTATAAAGTGGAGCTTTTTTAAGTGCAGCTATTTCTTTGCACACATTATTTCACAGGATTTACTTTAATAGCTTACAATCTGGTACAACTTGGGAGAGAGTACAAGCAAATGTAGACCTGAGGATACCTTTAAAAAAGCTGTTTACTTAGTACACAAACAAGACCAGTAATATTTAATTATTAATCCATTTCACTAATCTTTTTTCACCCAATGTACTAGTGACAAAAGTAAAATTCAGCTAATAATGCATTCTAAATCAGTGAAATGTTAGCTAATGACTTTAAAATAAAGCCTATTTATAGTTTAGTTGTCTGATTCCTAATAAAAATTAAGACATTAAGAATATAACCCTTACAAGGCCATGCACAATGCAGCTGCAAAGAACGCATACATAAAGCTATTTACCCTTCAGCGGGGTCCAACGCAAGAGCTCTGGGACTGTCTAGGTCTTTCCACACCAGAACTTGCCGGTGCTGTCCATCCAACTTCGACGCCTCGATTCGATTTGTTCCTGTGTCTGCCCAGTACAAGTTCTTCCCAAGCCAGTCTACCGCCATGCCTTCTGGATAATCTAAGCCGAATTCCACCACATGTTCCAGTGCACTGCCATTCATAAAGGCTCTGCTGATGGTCTGCAAAAGTAAGATTAACAACAAAGTTAAATGGCTTAAGTACAAGATACTACTGAGAAGATGTTTGGGTTTAGGTTTTGTTGGGTGGGAGGACCCAGAAGAGGCAGAGGCATAGTTTCTTAAAACAATTCATATATTTTATGAGCAGAGGGGGAAAAAATGGTATCAAACTAATAAATGCAACTGTGACCTCAACTTTTATTGCCAATTCAGGGAGAAATTTTTGAGATTCTTAAGGATCAAAAATTTATTCTGATAAGACAGTGGAATGACTTTCTTTTTAAAAATTTATTAGTAATCAAGTGAGAGAGATGTGACAAGAATATTGTAGACTCTTAACTGGTAGTCAACTTTCTGAAGGTACTTGAGAGTATGCCATGTCACTGTGTCAATGTGAGATCTCAACAAATTTATACCTTATATAAAATGCATACCATATTCATATCATCCCTACTGTAGCTCTGAACTCTCTAAAATTTCAAACTATTCAAACTATTAATAACAGCTGCTACTTCCTGTCAAGCACTATCCTAAGTACTTTGTGTACATATATTTTCTCACTTAGTCCTTGAAATAGCCCTGCAAAATAGAGATTATCTTTATTTTCAAGATGTGGAAAGGTAGAAGGCCAAAGTAAAAGCCAAGATTTATTTATTTACTTCATTTACTCACTCAATAGATTTTACTAAACATTATTAGAATCCTACACTGGCTCCAATACCCCACGATTTTTTAACATTAGACAAAAGTTTACACAAGTTATGTGCAACAAGCCCAAAACAATCTGGAAGAAGAAAACATTATTCTCCAGATTTCCTGAGAACTCCTTTTTGATTCAATATGCTTTTCAATATTTATTCTAGGAAAAAGAAAATAAAGTTGTGCTGTAACTCACAACTGGCATTTTCTACCTTGGTCAGACTCCAAAATTTTGTTTAAAAAAAAGTTAAGAATCAAGTCTTTGTAAGCCGTTTATGTGAAATATACAACTGCTTACTCTCTAATTTCAGAAAACATCATTTGTTACCTTCAAATGGAACAAAGTAGAGGAAGATTATGTTTTACTGATTTAGACATTCAAGCACAGTATCTTATATTAAAAGGCACTTAATTAAATAATGAATGGGGTTTTCCCTTGATTTCCTTTAAAAAGTTTAAGTTCTTTGTTGAACGCTGCCTGTTAAGCAATGAAGAAGGTTGAGCAATTGGTTGAGCAATCTAGAAGCTCTCCTTTTTAGTCCCCAGTTTTAATATTCCAATTCTTTGCCAACCTTGAGTGATATATCAGTCCAGTAAATTCGGTTGTCTGTCACATCAAAGTCCAAAGCAGAAGCTTCTTTGACACCAGTGAGCGGAATGGCCACATTATTATTGTTAGTTTCCAAAGAAATTCGCCTGATATCTGCTCTTCGAGAAAACAAAAGGAAAGCCTCTGGGACAATGCAAGTCTTCATGTCACTGATGAGTTCGAAGCCAATGGGACAGGCACAGCGAAGGCCCTGAGGTCTATAGAGGCAAAGATGGCTGCATCCCCCATTTTCCTCAGCACAGGGGTTGGAACCTAAAAGATAATTATGAAAGGGCACAGAAGGACACACATTGACATAATCAACACATTTTTACTTTAGAATTACTAAGCATTGGGTTCACAGAGACCTATGATTATATCTGCTCCCAAACCCAGAGGTTCCATTCTAATCCCATAAACAGGCACTAAGAGCACTGACGGAATAAAAGGCCAGGAGCAGTGTTGCGAGCTACAGCCCCAGCTACTGGGTAGACCGAGCTAGAGAAGTAGTGCCAGAGACCAGGAGTTTCTGAGCTGTAGCACACCATGCCAACTGGGTGTCTGCACTAAACTGGCATCACTATCGTGACCTTCCAGGAGTGAGGGCCTGAAGAGGGGTGAACTGGCCGAGGCTGGAAATGGAGCAGTTCAAAACCCCCTTGCAGATCAACTATGAATTAAAGTACAGAAAACTACTTTCCTTCGTACCCACAGTAAGCTTTAAAATAAACTATGTTACTCATACAATAGGACTGAATTCTTTTGATGAAGGGGGTATGTGTGCCTATGTTTTCCCTTCTATTCAGACCATGTGGACAGAATAGAAAGGCAACATTTAAAAGATTCACTTCTGATTTGAAAAATAAAAAAGTAATAAACATAATTTTTATACTTCCTCAAAACATCAACAATTTACAGTGCTGCTTTATAGAATTCTGCCTATCTCCATCTTTTCTCATTCATGGCTTCCACCTCTAAGAGAATTCTGGAATTACTTACCAATGATTCGATGAACATTTGTGGCCTTCAGGCCCATGAGGTCAGGGAGCTGATCTATGATGATTTCCCTCTCTGCACTTCGTTTGTGCACTCTTTCAATGCTCCGCCTCTGCCAGTCAGTCCAGTAAACATAGTCACCCAACAAAGTAAACCCAAATATGTGAGGAATTTTGTCTTCCACTAGCACTCGTCTTCCAGTGCCATCGGTATTCATAACCTTCAAGTTTAAGTTTAAAGAGAAAAAGGTGTATATTTATTCTTCAAATGTATGTGAAAATGACAAATGCAACTTGCCAGTGACATCAAAATCCAAAAGTATTTATCCCTATTACAATGTTTTCACAAAATGACAAAAAGCTGATTTAATGAGGATGATTTCAAAGTCAATATAAGCTCATATTTTACCTCTATTTCCCCAATCTCTTATTACCTTTTCTTCTAAAAAATTTGGCAATATTAGCTTTAGCATACATCTCTTCTACTAAATGACTATGTAAAAATTAAATATACAATATCATCACCTTAAGTTTGTACATTTGTTTTCAGATTATAATGCACCTTCGCATACATTATTTCACTGCATATTTGTTTTATAACATATTTTATCCTCAAAGTTTTACCTTTTTTACACCTAAGGAAACAGATTCATATAAGGTCACACAGCTTGTAAACAGAGTAGGAATTGAAGTATTTTGGGGGACTCCTTTGCTTAGTATATTTTTATTTCATTGTTTTTACTTGAAATTAACATTATTCAATTCATTCTGAACAGTCTCATAAACATTAGCAATTTCCCTAGAAGTAACCAAGGTGTCTCTGATACTAGTAATTATAGCAGCATCTTCTGTTCCAAAAGATGGAGTAAATCTTTTAAAGCACAAACTTGCAAGTGCCTAATTAAGACCATTTCTACTATTTAAGGTAACCTTGTTCCAGGCAAATTAGCCTTCAGAAATGTTATTCTGGTACTAAAAACATGTACAGGTAATCAATATCTGCCCCCAACCCATTTACAAAAAAAATATCAAATACAATCTTATGTGCAAGTGTTAATTTTTTATCCATACAATTAGTACAAATATTCCATGTAAGCCAACACTGTGACTGCCTGGATGGAATGACAACCAGATGTTCTTCATCCATCCTCCCTAAAAGTTTTACAAAATCTAATGATATTTCAAGAACATCCAAACCACAGAAAAAGACAAAATACTTAAAAATTGAGCAAGCAAAACTATGCCATATTTTAGTAGTTTCACTTGCAAATATCAATAAATATCTGATTTATATCTGATGAAAGAGACATTTATTTAATAGAATGTTTATCTGTTCATATCAGATACAAGAGAACTTCTATTAAGCCAACTGGATAAATCTACATTTAAATAAATTTTTTAAAAGTCAGGAACATATGCCCTGGCTGGTGTGGCTCAATGGATTGAGTGCCAGCCTGCAAACCAAAGGGCCGCTGGTTGGATTCCCAGTCAGAGCACAAGCTTGAGTTGCAGGCCAGGTCCCCAGCAGGGGGTGCACAAGAGGCAACCATAAATTGATGTTTTTCTCCATCTCTTTCTTCCTTCCTTCCCCTTTCTTTAAAAATAAAAAAATTAAATCTTTTAAAATTATTTTTAAAAAGTTATAAACATAGTTAAAATCAAACTCCTACATCAAATACTGTTTAAAGTCAGTAAGTTCTCTTTGAGCCACAAGCTTATGTTTTTTTATATTTATATTTTCTTGTTGTAGATCATTCCTAGACATATTTTATGATGTTTATGCTTTATCTTTTTAAAAAGATTTTAATTATTTATTTTTAGAGAGAGGGGAAGGGAGGGAGAAAGAGAGAGAGAGAAACATCAATTGGTTGCCTCACGCATACCCCAACTGGGGACCTGGCCCACAACCCAAGCCTGTGCCCTGAAGGGAAATCGATCCCTTGACCTTTCAGTTTGTGGGTCAGCAACCAACCAACTGAGCCACACCAGTCAGGGCTGTTAGTGGTATATCTTAAAATTAATTTGGTGTTTAAGAGTAAAAGGTCTAAGCAGAGAAAAGGACAGATTACATATCTAAAAAATGTGAGCTCTAGAATAGCAGGAACCTTAATTCATCCATTGATGTGCCTTCCACAGCTATTAAAGAGCCTGGCAAGGAATCAATAAATATTTGTTAAATAATTTGTAAAAGGAGGAAGGTTTCCTAAGACACTCAAGGAACATTCCTAAGAATGGAAATGAAAATTTCTATTAACAATTCTTATCCTCAGATCCTACAGCTCAGCCATTTGAATAAATGAAAGGAATTCCTGCCCAAATTTTAAATCCACGTAAAGTGCATTCTATTGCCTACTTTTTTGGAGAAGGGATATATTCCTGCTCCCTCCTAATGGCTGTGCTCTGAGAAAGAATTTCTGGTCCCATTCTATTACTGCCTAAAAACTGATCAGGGTGAAAAATCTTTCCTTCATTTATGACATATAATCCAGAAATGTCCATTTTAGTAGAGAGAGCATATTTTGAAAACTCTATACTTTTCCCTCTGTCCTAATAGGGAGATTATCTCTTGACTCTAGTATCTTCCTCTGTGCCCTTTATAAGAACCTCTCTCCCAAGACTATTTTCTTCTTTTCCAGCATCTTCAATTTCTCCTTCTCCATACAGCCCTTTTTTTCTGCCTTTAACACAACACAATTTCCCCCATTTTATGAAGACACTGTTTAAAAGTTGAATGATTCTGTTTTAATCGCCACATTCTTTGAATGTGATCTCTAACAGCTGCTTCTGCCTTTCATCATTTGTTCCCTTACCTGCCTACAAATGGTTTCTGATCTATGCCTCAGGTTAAGTCACTACTAAAAACAGGCAATGACTAGTTTCTTGCTTTTCTCAGTTCTTGAGCTCTTTCGCCACTTTTTGACATTTGACCATCTTAACCACCCACTCAAACTCTACACTTGGTTTCATGGCGCATCATCTTATTTCTTTTTCTACAGCCAAGACTGCTTTTTATCTCTCCATTTCACTGGTTCCTTCTTCCTTTTTCAAATCTGGGTGGGTATTTCTCAAGATTTCTTGAGTTCTTCTCTGTCTGTAGACACCCTTCAAAAAGCCCATCAAGGCTTATGGCTTCTGCTATTATCTTGCATAGAAAAATTAAAAATATGTAAAGTTGTAATCTAAGGTCTCATCAGTTTCTACTGCAGAATTCCCTTCTCCCAGAAAATACACTGCTACCTCATCTAAAATGCCACATACTTAATAGTGATCCTATGTTCTCTATTAGGTGGAGTTCAACATCCTATCAGAGAACATCAAATACCAAGTGTTAAATATTCCACATTATAAAACTTTAAAACACTACTTCCTTACAAGCTTAAGGTATTTAAACACCATCAAATTTTATTCTTAGTTTCATTATTATCTTAAATCAATTAATATACATTACTTTATACTTAATAAATACTAATTTTCCTGACTATTATGCCCAAATATTGGCCTTTCTATTAAAATTTGCCAATCTAAATGCCTAATCCTGAATTAGATGCCTACTAATGAGCTTCTCTGTAAAAATAAAATTTAAATTCCTACTTCAAAAATGTTACAGGATCAACTCTTTTCTTTTTAGCTATGTCGTCCTGCAACATTTTTGTTGGTTCATTTTGATAAATGAACAACTTAAATATAAAACAGCTGATTAAGTATGACTTTGAATAATGAGCAAAAAAATGAAGCTGCAAATCACAGTAAGAAAAATAAAAGCATAATTCCAAAAGATCCTTTTAGTTTACATAATTAAGCATCTTCTATTTAGCAGTTACTCTTCATTCTTCTCCTCTAAAAAATAATCTCATGATTAGCAAACAATATTCTGGCAGAATTAGGGTTGGATTTCAAATACAAGCTCTATCACTCACTGGCAGCTTCTCACATGCAAATTAGAACTGATTTAAAAATTAAAGATCCCTGCTGTATATACAGCATAGTATCAGATGTGCTGCTGGTTCTTGCCCTTTGAAATTATTTTAGTGAAATGCTTTAGTCTTTAAAATTAAAGTGCTACACTCAAATAGCTATAATCGATCAATTTATAAAATACAGTTCTTCAAAATAAAAATGAATACATAAACATAAAAGAATATGTGGAAATACAAAACGAAATAACTGCACGTTGTTAAACTGAAGAATAAAAGTAGTACAGATCTTTCTATACTCTGTCAACTAGTGGAAAACTACAGGGCCTCATTCTCATTTCAAACCCCCATTTTTATTGTTTGCTTATACTACGCAGGTGTACAGTAACTAAAACAATAAACAAAAAGGAGCAGTCTGACAATTGATCTGGGCATGCTTTTGCTGCTCTGCCAGACCCTCTTTCCACTCCCCACCAAAATCAAACATAAACATACCTAGTAAGTACAAATCACCATGAAAGACGTATGATGAATGGTAAGAAATTTATAACAGGCCCTCTTCTGGCTTAGAATTATGATCTAGAGGTAAATTATACCCTTCTCTGGTCTATACCTTACCAGGAAAACCTTCAGGAAATAGTAGAAATTCGAACCCACCTTGAAGAATTAGGAGAATTTTGACAAAGAGAAAGAGAAAAGGATTTTTCACAATAAGAGAAATAGCACATGTTAACACACACAGAGTTAAGGGTGCTTTGAAAGAAACTCCCTGAGGCAAAAGAAAGAATACAACAGGTACTTAAAGAAGAAAAGAAGACAGTGCCAGGCAGATACCACCCAAAGGCAGGTATGAAATTTCAGGGTAAGGAGCATTATAGAAAACAAAAACTTCTGAAAGCATTTTAAGGAGCAGGACATAACAAGGCTGTTTTTCCAGAAAGACCTCATTTACCTCCGTCTCCGTGTTCAGATAGTTTGTGCTAAAAATTAGTATCTTAAATACAGAATTATAGTAATTCTCACAGAATTACCTGTGAGATGGTAAGAGAAGTCCAAAAATCTCTTATCTATGTCTCAGGGCCAGCTGTATTTCAGAATATAGATTAAAAAATATATTTAGAAAGGTTAACACAATGCTCACAGCCTGTCACCTCTACCCGGGCCAGGACAGCACTTCACTGCCCGTGTATACATTTTTCTACAAAGGGAGACAAATAAAAACTACAAATACTCTCACACAGCGCTTCAGGGAAGGGTCACCACCAAATGAATTAACAATAATCATTTTTGGTTTCTAGAGTTTTTTT